ATCAAACGTACTGCTTCTACTACCTGCGTCATGGTCTACACCTATTGTGTGATATCAAACGTACTGCTTCTACACCTATTGTGTGATATCAAACGTACTGCTACAACTACCTGTCATGGTATTCACCTATTGTGTGATATCAAACGTACTGCTACAACTACCTGTGTCATGGTATTCACCTATTGTGTGATATCAAACGTACTGCTACAACTACCTGCGTCATGGTATTCACCTATTCTGTGATATCAAACGTACTGCTTCTACACCTATTGTGTGATAACAAACGTACTGCTACAACTACCTGCGTCATGGTCTACACCTATTGTGTGATATCAAACGTACTGCTACAACTACCTGCGTCATGGTATTCATCTATTGTGTGATATCAAACGTACTGCTACAACTACTACCTGTCTCATGGCATACATTTATTGAGTGATATCAAACCCACTACTACTACTGTTGCTGCTAGTACTACTACTACTACTAACTGCCACGGTCGTAATATACATCTTTTGTGTAATACCACATGGTCATGGTGTCCAAAACTATTTATGTCTTCATTCATCTTCTGTCAGCAATAAACACTTTCTATGTTTTCATTTAAGGTATTGACCGAATCGGTCAGCAATAAACACTTTCTATGTTTTCATTTAAGGTATTGACCGAATCGACATATCATTATGAAGTCATGTGTGTGCAATATAGAGTGAACAAAATGTAATATTGATACAATGTTTGAATAAAAATTAAAGAACACTTTCCTGATTCAGTGATTATTTTCCTACAAATGACATTGAGATATTTTCTATCATATTAGTCATTACGCCAGCTGTTTGCTAAAAGTTCTGTCTCAAACACATCCAACAAACAAATCATTTTGTTCACTGGAACGTGGTGAAATGTGGACACCAGTCTGGATTGGTGAATATTGCTCCACATCATGGGGAAGGTCTTTTCATACGACTGACTGACTGAGTTTAGTTTTACGCCGCTCTAGCAATATTCCAGCAATATCACGGCGGGGGGACACCAGAATTGGGCTTCACACATTGTGCCCATGTGGGGATTCGAACCCGGGTCTTCGGCGTGACGAGCCAACGCTTTAACCACTAGGCTACCCCACCGCCCCTCTTTTCATACGAAATACATACTTGTTGATATATGTATTAAGGAACAGATAAAATACGAACATCAATCACATCAACACCACGTATGATAGGATACATTCACGTCATTATAGATGGTTCGCAATCAAAATACATGGTGTGATTTGGGATATTGTACAATTTGTCATGCAAAGTTGTTCATGATGGAAAATTGTCTGAAGAATTCCAAGTAACAACAGGAGTTAGACGATGTCGCTTGCTATCACCTCTACTATTCTTGGTGGTGCTTGACTGGGTCACAAGGGAAGCCTATGCTGACACTGGAAAGGCATACAGTGGACTCTCACCAGTAGACTTCAGGACTTAGACTTTGCAGACGACCTAGCGCTCCTTGCACACAGACTCCAGGACATCAAGACAAGCTGGATGCACTGGGATCTCAACAAAAACAGAGATAAGACGAAAGTTCTGAGGACCCAAAACAAACAGCAAGATCCATTACAGGTCAACGGACAAGTGATTGAAGACGTCACCGAATTCACCTATCTGGGCAGCAAAATCAGCACAACTGGTGGCACTGACGAGGACATCAGGCTAGGATCAGAAAAGCCCAATATGCTTTCACCACATTAAGACCGATCTGGAAAAGCGCTGTCCTATCTCTGAAAACCAAGCTGCTAATCCTCAGCTTTTTCAATCTCAGCTGCATTTTTTTTAAATATAAAAGTTCTGTCCTGTCTACTATGGGTCGGAATTCTGGGAAATGAGTTTTCTCAAATTTGAGTAAAACTCTAACTTAAGTAAAACTCAAGATCAGTTCCATCAAAATACATCAACAAAATGTCTCCGACAGATTCTCTGCATCATCTGGTTCGATAAAGTCCTCAACCTTGACTTGTGGGAAGCAGCAAACCAAGACCCAGTCTCTGATCAGATCAAGCGACAAAAGTGGCGTTGGATTGGACATACGCTAAAAAGCACAAAACAAATATAACCAGACAAGCGCTTGACTGGAACCCACAAGGCAAGAGGAAAAGAGGACGTCCAAAACAGACCTGGAGACGAAACCTGGAAAAGGAAATAAGGGAATCCGGCTTAACCTGGGAGGCTACCAAGAGCATAGCCACTGACAGGCAAGCGTGGAGGACAACTGTTGAGGCCATATGCTCCTCGAGGAGTAAAGGGGATTAAGTCAAGTAAGTCACAATTGTAACTGCCTTAATCAAATCGAATTGCAGCACAGGAAACATTAACTGCGTGTAGTGAGCAGATATAATTCAGTATGTTTCAGAAAAAACATTGAAGACTACTACCCAAATGATTACACAGTTGATTTATACAATTTCCGAGACCTGAGGTTGTTAGAATAACATATGGATATCAAAACAACCCGCTGTTTTCACACACACTCATCATAAAACTGAATTCAATATTGTATAAAGTTCACAACTAGAGTACAATAAAAACATGCAAAATGCCACTTGTAAAACAAATTTGAAACATCAGTAGCTTCTCTTTTTGGTTATTTTTTGTGTTTCTACCGGTCCCCAAAAGGGGGCATCAATTAATATGGAATAGTTGAAAATATAGATTAAAAAACCCACAACGACCAAGACAGAAAATGGCAAATTCAAATAGCTGTAATTAATTAATTAGTACTTAATCTTTTAGTTTTTAATTGTTCACTGTTACACCTTACAGACAAAACGGTTGTTGTAGGTCTGTTCTCTACCCCCAGCTGCTGTGTACATCAGTGTGTTAGCTGGAAGGATAGTGATCATCTTCGAGTTTGGGTGTGAACTGACCTACCCCATCTGCGAGGGCACAACGAACGGCGCGATGACGTTGATGAACAACATTGGAGCGTTCATATACCTTCTAATCCTCATGATTCCTGGTATAGGTAAGAAGCTTATTTTTGTGAAGAAATCACATACAAAACAAATCCGCAAACAAACTTTCGAAGTGTGGACATGTTTATCTATATTAGTAAGTGAGAAAGCCAGGCATGCGCAATCAAAATATATTTAGAAGATAAAGCTACTCTGTTTTCAATTTTGCGGTCCTTTATCGTTGATTTAAGACCGCTAAATGTTTAATTTACATTTATATACTGCCGCTTTTGCGCTGCTGACGGATTTTCCAGCTTCGTAGTTTCTTCACTGGGATTAGGGTCAAGAAATTCTTCTTCAAAGAAGCTTTTTACTTAAAAACCACCAAAGATGCTGCCGAGATAGAAATTGCCGATGTCCGACATGTTTGTTTACAAACAATAGGGTCAACGAGCTCGTTGTATTCATACGCGGTGAATCGGTCACTTTAATTAGCGGTCTTAAACTGCCATTTAAGAACGGTTTTGATGAGCTCTCAGCCAATCAGAATCGAGTATCACACAATGTCGTGCTAGAATTAAGATTTGTACGACATATTTTGGCCGCCACCTAGAAGCACTAAGCTCACTGCACCAGTTAGATACACTGATGTACATAAATACTATATGTGTGTGATAATATACAACGATTAGACCGCATATCAACACGGATAGGTCACAGGACCAGCAGGCCAGTGTCACCGTATTTTTCTAGGGCAACACGAAGAGACTTCATGAGCACAACCCTTTCTTACTGTAGATAGCAGAGCGACCTGTCAGTCTGTAGTGGACTGGCTGATATACCCTACTGGGTCGGAGAAACGGGTAAGTCAAAAAGTGTGACTAACAGTAATACCCCTATCACATCAAACTTGTTCTCAAAATGTTCTTGAAAAAAAATGTTCGGATCGGGCTTGAACTGTGGGCTTTCATTATGTTCTACTCGTTAGTACGTTTGTGTCGTTCTCACGCAATTCTTGCTTCGTCAACACTGTGTTTAGTACAACTTCTTTTATTTCGTAAGTGCACGATAAATGTCCGATATAAAAGAAGTTGCTATCCATCAAATATGTCATTAGTGACTGAGAGCAGCAGCGATTTTAGGCTGAGCATTTTAGGCATCATTTCAATCTTACTGAAATTATATTGCATGTACTCGCAGACTATTGTTTTCTTTGGTTCATAGTGTGTTTATATATATAATATGTCAATTTGAAACAAGACACGTATATGAGAGAGATTGTTATTAACAGAATCTTTCTATACAATACTCGTTTCCATCGTATTATCTTCTGTCAGTACACAGTTCCTGTGAATGCATTCCTGTCATGATATGAAAAATATTCTCATAAATACAATCACCCGAAAAATGTATAATTTACATTTTCTAATTTCAGCATCTTATTCATGTATGTTAATTATACCGTCCTTCGTAAAAATAATCAATCTTAAATTGCATTCGGTTTCACATAAAAAGTAATTTTTAAAGATTATGAAGGATTTAAGCTCGCTGTTCATTGTTGTACATATTATTGTGATACTTTCACACATGCAGGGCGCTTCGGTCTAGATTCTAATGCCGTTATGAAGCAAGCGGTGTAAAGAAGATGGTGAATATTCTTACTATCTTGTCACGTTATCTACGTGCACTTGCTTGATAACGGCGTTAGAGTTTAAACTTACACATCGATACTACTTCTACAACGGTGAATACACGTGTTATCCTGTCACTATTACAAATCTACTTTCTAATTATCAGGAGGCGGTGGATTAGCCTAGTTGTTAAAGCCTAGTTGACACGTAGAAGACCTGGGTTCGATTCCCTACATGGGTACAATGTGTGAAGCCAATTTCTGGTGTCCCCACAGTGACATTTCTGGAATGTTGCTAAAAGCGGCGTAAAACTAAAAGTCCCTCACCCACTATTAGCATCAGAACATGACTGAATGTAAATCATTTGTGTGCGTAAAGTTTGATTATTTTAGGTATGACGAATTGCTTACCATTGACACAGGTTCATCATGGACGACACAAAGACTCCATTGTTAGCAGACCAGGAGGACCACTCTTACTCATCAATCGGCGGTTCTGCCACCATTAACCCGGACAGGAAGTCTTCAGAATCGTCTATAGACATACACACCTCGGCATCTCAGGAGGCTGGGAACGTTACACAAGACGATGTTAATGTTAAACTGTATAAGAGGCGATGGTATATGTTAGTTGTATTTTCTCTGATGTCGGGGACTCAGTCTTTTGTATGGAATACCTGGTCGCCCATATCAACTTCCAGTGAAGTAGCGTTTGGATGGAATGACGGGGTTATCTCCCTTATGGCCAACTGGGGGCCTATAACTTACTTTATTGGGATGCCAATATTCGCCTGGATGCTGGATATGAAAGGTGAACAGAACTTAAATTGTTTCCAAGTATTGACTCATTCACGATGCTATCTTCTGTCATGTCTGTGCTAGAGGCAGTTGGGTACCCCAGTGGTTAAAAGCGTTCGCTCGTCACGACGACGAAGACCTGTGTTCGATTCCCAACATGGGTACAGTGTGTGAAGCCCATTTCTGGTGTGTTCCGCCGTATTATTGCTGTAATATTGCTAAAAGTGGCGTAATGCTAAACAACTTATTCAAAGACTACCCTCTCACTGAAGCACAAAAATACAAACTTTCATCTTTTCACTTTCCTTTTTTGAGGCAAGAAGTTATGGCATCATTCATTTAAGGGGACATAGTACGACTCAACCACTGCCCGTGTGACTTTAAATCTAAATTCATTCACTCATAGTCGACACAGTCAGCAATACAGAATTACTCTTACGTTCCTTCGGCGAGCCAGTAATCAGAGCTCTACCCGAATTTTGATTGTAGGTTTTACCAACAATCTCATATCTGCCTGCCCTCTGTCGGGAATCTCTATATTGCATATCAAGCGGACAGTCGTGTCATAACTCAAATATTGTCCAAAGTGGTCTCAGACAAAACAGAGATTTATGTTTATATACATGTATTGTCCTTTGCAGTGTTTTCATAACTCATCTCTAGGTTTGTTTAAGGTTTGAGGGTATCATCTCTTCTGAGCATGTTCTTGATAGCAGCCGGATGCGGAATACGATGTATAACCACCACCCCACCATGGGTCACGTGGTCAGTATAGTTATCGTACACTCACTTAATCCCAGATCATGTTATCACCTGTTATCACTTCAAATCTACCTCCAGAGAGGCATAAAAATACATAATTTGGAACAATGACTGGAGGATCAAGATTTAACACCGACTACTTGGTGAAAAATTTATATAATTTGCTTTATGTATAAAGCTAGTCCATGGGTAGTACATTTATCATTATTTAAAAGCTCTGCAATCCGGCAGCTGTCAATTCCGGATCTCGGCATGAAAAGAGCCGCCCGAATATGTGTTTATACAGTAATCAGTGCTGTCTAATCCGGCGCGTGGCAAGGAGTCAGTAATCCTGTGTTGAAACTACATGGTTGCCGACAAAGATAATTAATCTTAGGTTGGGTGTACTTGTACATGTAATTAGTGAGTTGAGAGAGAAATTGAGAGAACCACCTTATACAACAATGTATATGAGAGTGATAAAACTGGTTCAGTTCTAGTCGTAGGTAACCGTGTCAGCTCTACAATCCGGCACGCTGTCGAAACCGGATTATTTTTTCAGTCCCGACGTGTGGCGGTTTAGACAGCTTCCACTGTACTATGTTTTTCTCTCTCCAGGACAATGCACATTGGTCAGTTTCTGAACGGTCTTGGTGGGCCGGTTGGGACAGGCGGACCCCCCTCCATGTCGGCCGCGTGGTTTCCGCCCAACGAGAGGACCACAGCCACGGCCTTAGCCACAGTCATCAAGTTCCTCATGGTAGCTTGTTCTTTCGTAGTAGGTAAGTCATGGTCTTTTGACAAACATGTTTCTCACCGATTAGGTTTCAGAGTCAGAATCTATGTCAGTCAGTCATGGAATCACAATTAGATATGCAGAGATTCCATTTCAGCAGCACTACTGGTGCAATGCCTCAATGGCTGCATACAAATATGTACGTCTAACTGCTTCGTTCACTCGAACCGAGAAGCGCTAATGAGCTGATTAAACAGTTCGCTTGACGCACACTGCTTTGGAGTTGGAGTTGTTTCTTCCAGCAGAAAATAGTGAACTATCTCGTTTAAATTAGATTGCGCTGCAGTGGTACTATTGTTTGTGTTTTTTTATTCAATCTGTATGGTTTTACATCCAGGTCCCCAACTGGTACCAGAGGTGCATACGATAAACTGTACAGTTGATAACTTAACCATGAGGTGTGTATCATTTTATGACTAAAGTACTGTCGGAAATAGAAAAAACAACTGTTTTTAGGCTGTTACTCTGTATCCCTAAAATTTACACAACTGCAAATAGCAAATGTCGAAATAACCCACTTCGGCCTAACTTGGCATTCAGTGGGATGTGTAATAGAATATCCATTAAAGCATGTTTACTCGTAAAATCGGGCAAAACTTAGAAAAATACGAATAGCTGCTGAAAACAATAGATCAGACTATAGATGGCAATTAGGTCGCTCAGCCAGGTATGACGACGGATCGTCGACTCACCTGGCATGAAATGCACGTGCTGCCTACAGGCACAAGGGGTCATCTCAAAGATATTTTGTGCTTTTTCATGTGTGTTGACTATGCCTCATCTATTGATTAACATCTTACGTGTCTTTCTTTCATGAAGTTTATGTTGAGATATGTAAAAGAGTATGATACCTGATAACCATAGAAACGCATCGTATTGAATGTATTAGGTGGCATGACCACCCGATCGCGAAGATCGACAGAACTGGATATTATTTGTAAATTGTTATGACATGCCGTGTACTTCCCCAGTATAATTGCCCTAAAGGATTATCTTATCTTAGCTGCTATCTCTATCCCCAAGCCCGACCCGAACGATGGTCTGCGACACCCGTCCAGGTTTTGCTTTTGAGACAAACCCTCCTATCTGTTTCTTTTTATAGTGACAGTGAGACTCCATGGTACCTACATCCTTAATAGTTTCAGCATGAAAGTTATTATTTTTTTACGCCAACTATCGTTAATAATGAAGCTACGTCTAATTTCTTTTGTAATACAATATCGTCGCACACTAATTTGCATAAAGCCATGGTCTGTTCCAAATAAATCACTTTGGACTTAGAAAAAAACCCGCATTGCTCATTTCTGCACTAATCTCTCCTCAGTAAAGTCCTTTTTCTACGTTTCTTATGTCCCTACCACTTAGACTTGTAGTTAGGCCGAACTTAGTTTAACAGATATTTCACACTTGCACATATCAACTACAGAAAATACAGTTTTTTTCTATTTCCGACAGTACTTTAATATCATCCTGTACGATGTACTGTAAGCCTTTGTGGGAAGAAGAATTATTTTAGAATGAATTTTATGAGGTCTTATGTGTAGAATTAAAAGGAAAGAAATAAGAATACGTGATTTATGTATGGAAGGTGTTTTAATTGTTAGTTAATTGTCTCAATATGACCTAAGTGTTCTCGAGTATGTGTATGTGTTTGCTGTTATTTTAAAAAAAATCGAAAACGTATGTCTTTTCAAATAACAATTTCACTTGAAATAATCATATTAATGTAACATTCGTCTAAATTTTTCTTAAGTTTGTCCGATGTATCACAGTTTGAAGAATTTCAACTCGGAAATGGCTGCATCAACGACACCAATGTCACTGGTAAGAAAACAATTATCTCCATAACATTTTCAATTTGTAATAGAAGAGCAATAATTTTGAATGCTACAATACTCAAAACAATATTGAAACCATATACACCGTGTGATTATTATGGTAATCTTTTAAGCGGAGGAGAATGTATGTGTAAAATTACGAAAGAGTCAATATATAAATTGTTATCACACGAGTAACAGTTATGAAATTTTCCGTCTAAGTGTTGGATTTATTTATAACCCATGTTTTATAACCATGTATGACTGGTTGTGCTTCCAGTGCCGAGTGTAGCGAAACTGAGAGAAGACATAATGTTCCTCATGTATATAGGTAAGGAAATTAGTTTAAAACTTAGTTTTCAGGACGAATAACTTGTAACTGTCTATCAAGATAAAAGTAAACTACTCTTAAGAATATGAAGTTATTTCAGAGTGTGGTCAGCTGCATAAAATACATTTATAATTTCACCATTTATTTCTGTGTAAATTTAGCCAGGAGTGAAATATACTTTACGATCATGCATTTCAGCGTGGGAAAGTACTTTACTATCATGCATTTCAGAGTGAACAAGTACGTTATGATCATGTTTTACAGATTGAACAAGTACGATCTATCTTTTCAGTGTGTACAAATACTTTACGATCATGCATGTTTGAGCATGTCTTGTTTGTTGGGCAATAATGTACACATGTACATCTCAAATCTGCAAATACTATTATTAAAGTCCAAGTACTTTACAATCACTCATATCAGTATGTGCAAGCACTTTACTATCATTCATTTCAGTATGTGCAAGTACTTTACAATCACTCATTTCAGATGTGCAAGTACTTTACTATCACTCATTTCAGTATGTGCAAGTACTTTACAACCACTCATATCAGTGTGTGCAAGCACTTTACTATCACTCATTTCAGTATGTGCAAGTACTTTACAACCACTCATATCAGTGTGTGCAAGCACTTTACTATCACTCATTTCAGTGTGTGCAAGTACTTTACTATCACTCATTTCAGTAGTGCAAGCACTTTACAATCATTCATTTCAGTATGTGCAAGCACTTTACTATCACTCATTTCAGTGTGTGCAAGTACTTTACTAAGTACTTTACTATCACTCATTTCAGTAGTGCAAGCACTTTACAATCATTCATTTCAGTATGTGCAAGCACTTTACTATCACTCATTTCAGTGTGTGCAAGTACTTTACTATCACTCATTTCAGTAGTGCAAGCACTTTACAATCATTCATTTCAGTGTGTGCAAGTACTTTACTATCACTCATTTCAGTATGTGCAAGCACTTTACTATCACTCATTTCAGTGTGTGCAAGTACTTTACTATCACTCATTTCAGTAGTGCAAGCACTTTACAATCATTCATTTCAGTGTGTGCAAGTACTTTACTATCACTCATTTCAGTAGTGCAAGCACTTTACAATCATTCATTTCAGTATGTGCAAGCACTTTACTATCACTCATTTCAGTGTGTGCAAGTACTTTACTATCACTCATTTCAGTAGTGCAAGCACTTTACAATCATTCATTTCAGTGTGTGCAAGTTACTTTACTATCACTCATTTCAGTAGTGCAAAAGCACTTTACAATCATTCATTTCGGTATGTGCAAGGCACTTTACTATCACTCATTTCGAGTGTGTGCAAGAGTACTTTACTATCACTCATTTCAGTAGTGCAAGCACTTTACAATCATTCATTTCAGTGTGTGCAAGTACTTTACTATCACTCATTTCAGTAGTGCAAGCACTTTACTATCACTCATTTCAGTGTGTGCAAGTACTTTACTATCACTCATTTCAGTAGTGCAAGCACTTTACAATCATTCATTTCAGTGTGTGCAAGTACTTTACTATCACTCATTTCAGTAGTGCAAGCACTTTACTATCACTCATTTCAGTATGTGCAAGTACTTTACAATCACTCATTTCAGTATGTGCAAGCACTTTACTATCACTCATTTCAGTATGTGCAAGTACTTTACAACCACTCATATCAGTGTGTGCAAGCACTTTACTATCACTCATTTCAGCATGTGCAAGCACTTTACTATCACTCATTTCAGTATGTGCAAGCACTTTACAATCATTCATTTCAGTGTGTGCAAGTACTTTACAATCATTCATTTCAGTATGGCAAGCACTTTACTATCACTCATTTCAGTATGAGCAAGTAGTTTACAATTACTCATTTCAGTGTGTGCAAGCACTTTACTATCACTCATTTCAGTATGAGCAAGTAGTTTACAATCACTCATTTCAGTGTGTGCAAGTACTTTACAATCACTCATTTCAGTATGAGCAAGTAGTTTACAATCACTCATTTCAGTGTGTGCAGGTACTTTACAATCACTCATTTCAGTATGAGCAAGTAGTTTACAATCACTCATTTCAGTGTGTGCAAGTACTTTACAATTATTCATTTCAGAGTGTGTAAGTACTTTACTATCACTCATTTCAGAATGTGCCTGGTCCGTTGGCTTGTTTCTGCTGATGTTGCTGTATTTCCCCAACAAGCCCCCAAACCCCCCTTGTGTGTCGGCGTCGGTCAAGAGAGAGAGCTTCAAAGAGGGACTGAAAGATCTGTTAAGGTACATTTACACATAACCACTACCCCAAACCCCTCGCCTCTCACACCTCCATAAACAGCAACGACAACGTTAACAAGAAATGCATTAAATTAACCATACAATGTTGGAAACAACATAGTCATGCCGTGAATGCACGACCATTTTCGATAAGTTAATTTTAGAAGCTGAAACCAGACCAAATAGGATCCCAAAGAAAAAGCGACAACATAACCCTTCCCAAACACGCACAGACACACAGACTTCATTTAAAACATCACAACAATACCAAACCAACACCGAAAAACAAAACATTAGCGAAACCCAAGCACCAACAACAACAATCAGCCCCCAAGGAACCAGAGCATGATAATGATGCTGTTCCTATTTTGCCTTCACCAGGAGGTATCAGTTCTGGGTGCTCGCCCTGGTGTTCGGCTTGGCCGGAGGGGGTAGTACCGCGTGGACAGGGGTGCTGAAGGTCAACATGAAACCTACCGGCATCAGTCAGGACCAGGCGGGCTGGATCGGCTTCTACACCTTCTTTGCCAGTTGTGCCGCCATGATGATAGTAGCCAGGTGAGCTGGTGTTGTGTGTTATCAACAATGTGAATTGAATGTTTCTACCTCTGTCTGCAAACATCCTGTCCTTATTTATCATACTTTCCCTGGAAGAAATCACTGTGTAAGTTTGATTCAATGTTCTTTTTTTATTTTCGTTTCGATAACCTATGTTAGAAATGGCCTTGGTTATGTCTCTAGCTTTGTCATCACTACACCCATACTCGTGTGTATACGTTTAAGATCTGCATCACTTTGAGCTGTCCGAACACACCAAGCTAGCAGCTATATAACAGATAACTGAAAAATTGTTGTAGCCGCCAGCAATACTCACTCACTCAGTTACTCACTCACTCACTCGCTCGCCCACACACCCACTCACTCACTGTGTCTGTTGCAGGCTGGTTGATGTGTTCTCCCGCCACATGAAGTGGTTCATCCCTCCCTCCCTCACTCACTCACTGTGTCTGTTGCAGGCTGGTTGATGTCTTCTTCCACTCATCACTCGCTCACTCACTGCCACTGGTTGATGTCTTCTCTTCCGCCACGAAGTGGTTCATCACTCACTCACTCACTGTCTGTTGCAGGCTGGTTGATGTCTTCTCCCGCTACATGAAGTGGTTCATCAATCACTCACTCACTGTCTGTTGCAGGCTGGTTGATGTGTTCTCCCGCCACATGAAGTGGTTCATCACTCACTCACTCACTCACTGTCTGTTGCAGGCTGGTTGATGTATTCTCCCGCTACATGAAGTGGTTCATCACTCACTCACTCACTGTCTGTTGTAGGCTGGTTGATGTGTTCTCCCGCTACATGAAGTGGTTCATCACTCACTCACTCACTCACTGTCTGTTGTAGGCTGGTTGATGTGTTCTCCCGCCACATGAAGTGGTTCATCACTCACTCACTCACTGTCTGTTGTAGGCTGGTTGATGTATTCTCCCGCTACATGAAGTGGTTCATCACTCACTCACTGACACTGTCTGTTGTAGGCTGGTTGATGTGTTCTCCCGCCACATGAAGTGGTTCATCACTCACTCACTCACTCTCCCGCCACATGAAGTGGTTCACTCACTCCCTCACTGTCTGTTGTGGTGGTTGATGTGTTGTAGGCTGGTTGATGTGTTCTCCCGCTACATGAAGTGGTTCATCACTCACTCACTCACTGTCTGTTGTAGGCTGGTTGATGTGTTCTCCCGCCACATGAAGTGGTTCATCAATCACTCACTCACTGTCTGTTGCAGGCTGGTTGATGTATTCCCCCGCTACATGAAGTGGTTCATCACTCACTCACTCACTCACTCACTGTCTGTTGTAGGCTGGTTGATGTATTCTCCCGCTACATGAAGTGGTTCATCAGTGCGGTGTACTTCATCGCGGCATCATTCTTTGCCTGGTTTGCCGTCATATGCACTGGACTGCTGCCGGCCACCTTACGTAATTATCTCCACTTACCTAACACATGCTGCCTACTTTAATCCAGGTTTAGTACGATTCTTGGTTTGTCAGCTGGTCCTCCATGGTTGCAGCTAGTATAAGGCATGGTGATAACTGTCTTGATAAACAGATCTTTTATTTGCATTCGATACCTCTCTGGGTTCTGAGGAACCTTCTACAGGAAGTGGAGTTATTTGAACCCTGAGCCGTCTTTGTCCAGCAAATAAACACGAAGGAAGAATGGGTTCTTGAGCCAGTCAGATGTCGCTGTCTTAAAACCGTTCAGTTTTACCACAGCTTGTAAAGTTCGTTATCAGAAAACCCACTCAGAACCCACATCTGTCAGTAGCGTACCTGCCTACGCTTAATGTTTTCGGCATTTTTTTACATGTGGTATGTTGTGGATATATTTTATCAAGAGTAGTCTCCCTTTCAATGAAAGATGGATAACTCTAATGCTACTTTGATGCCAACATGGCGTCTCGCACTGCGAAAACAAATATTTTAAGTTTTCATCTGTGAAAGATGATACTAATGAGCTTGCTCCTCAGCCAGAGGAAAAAGAGTATCCGGTCCAGAGTCCCATGCACCACCACTATTAGATCCGGTCAATTATGGAAATGGTTTGGCTGATCAGGAAAAGAAAGATTTCCTTACATCGAAATGGCAAGATTATCATTTGTTCAAATTATGTTTTTATACAAAATAATCAGGAGCTAGCACTCTGGCATTCAATTCTTTCTATGTGCATATGAATTGTTTACTCACCTCCGTTAACAAACACACACACACACACACACACACACACACACACACACACACACACACACAGTTGGCGAACACTTGGTCTCATCCCAAGTTGACATTGATTCATAAACAAATGCTAATGTTATTGTCGGAATCGTTCAGCTGACTCTGCTAACCCAAGTCTTATAGATGTGGGAAGTGTTTGTCGTATATATTTCTGTATATCTGATTGCTAGACACGGGGTATATCGGACCATATTGCAGTGTGACTACTGTATTTGTAGCTGTGTTATACGTGAGCGTGATAACGGGTCAGACAGCTCTCACGACGGCTATTCCAATCATCTTTGAGATGGGCTGCGAACTCACCTATCCTATCGGAGAGGGCACTACCAATGGTGCCATGACACTCATGAACAGCGCTGGAGCTCTGGTCTTTTTGTTGGTGCTTATGATTCCAAATATTGGTAAGTGGATACAATTGTGGTCACATTCTCTTGTGTTCTTTTTCCGATAGAGATATTTGAATAGCATATGAGTCAAATAAAGTCCAGTCAATGAACAGAATTAGTTATTAAATAGTTTCTGTCAATGTGAATAGTATCTTGAAGATGAGAGGATATTTCTGAGGTCAACTGTAGTCCGAACTTTAAGAATAAAGACAATAAGTTAAACTATCTGTCGTGGTATATCAGTTTTCATGGTGTATCTACATTGTTACAGGGACAGTGTGGATGAACTGGGCATTGGTTGGAGCCATTGGGGTTTCAATACCCATGTTGTTAGTGATCCGAGAAACCCACCACAGACTGGATGTTGATGAAACTAAAGTCGTCAGAGATTAACACCTAACTTATCAAACGGATGCCTGGGTCAGCTGTGTTCCAGTATCATTGTGACATCGACCCCCATTCCAACTGAAGTATAAGGAGAGCGTGAAGGGTGCATAATAATGACAAACGTACTGGTGCTGCTACTGCTACCTGTCTCATGGTATACACCAATTGAGTGATATCAAACGTACTGCTACTACAACACATGCTGCTGCTACTACTTGTGTCATGGTATACTACTACTACTACTACTACTACTACTACTACTACTACTACTACTACTACTACGGGGCGGCGGGGCAGCCTAGTGGTTAAAGCGTTCGCTCGTCACGTGGAAGGCCCAGGTTCGATTCCCCACATGGGTACAATGTGTGAAACCCATTTCTGGTTTTCCCCTCCGTGATATTGCTGGAATATTGCTAAAAGCGGTGTAAAACCAAACTCACTCACTCACTACTACTACTACTCTCCTACTACTACTACTTCTTCTACGGCTACTACCGGTCTCATGGCATACATCTATTGAGTGATATCAAACGTACTACTGCTATTACTACTACTACTACTACTACTACTACTACTACTACAGTCGTAACATACATCTTTTGTGTAATACCACATTTGTCAATTCAATTTTGTGCAATACTGTTTGTATCTTCATTCATATACTGTCGGCAATAAACACTTTCTATGTTTTCATTTAAGTTATTGACTGAATCGACATATCATTATCAAGTCACGTGTGTGCAATATAGAGTGAACAAAATGTAATATTGATATAATGTTTGAATAAAAACCAAAGAACATTATCCTGGTTTAGTGATTATTTTTGTACAAATGACATTGAGATTGTTTCTATCATGTTAGTGACAACACCAGATGTCTGCAGAATGATGTCACACACACACCCAACAAACAAATAGAATGTTCACTTTAAAACGTGCCTGCTCGAATGTACCCCAAACGTTGTGATATGTGGACACCTAAGGCGATAACTGGTAAATATTGTCACATAATGGGGAAGGTCTTTTCATACACAATACATTTTTGCTGATATATGTATTAAACAACAAATAAGAACATCAACTCCACGTAGGATCTGAAGTGTTTGTGTGAATTACCGTCATTAAACATTGTTCTCAATAACAGGATGTGCTCAGGAACATTAGTAGTGCAAGAAACAAACACATTTTATTATTTTTATTAATAATTTCATTATTTAAATCGACTCGCAACCACGTGAAATGAGTAGATATGATTTATGTTTTTAAGAAAAAACCATTATGACTAAAATGTCGCTTTTATATTTCCCAGACCTGACTTTTTAGTAACTTAATCTTTTAGTTTTAGCTGAATTGTTCACTGTTACACAGACAAAACGGTTGTTGTAGAGCTGTTCTCTACCCCCAGCTGCTGTGTACATCAGTGTGTTAGCTGGAAGGATGGTGATGAGTTCATCTGTACCCGTCATCTTCGAGTTTGGGTGTGAACTGACCTACCCCATCGGCGAGGGCACGACGAACGGCGCGATGACGATGATGAACAACATTGGAGCGTTCATATACCTTCTGATCTTCATGATTCCTGGTATAGGTAAGAAGCCTATTTCTGTGAAGAAATCACATACCGTTGATCACTTGTTGATATTATTCGACCGCGTTCGTTGTCTGATCGATAGAGAGTCCACGCGGTTGATGGTTACTATTGGTTAGACGTTAAAAATGGTAATTATTGTTACCTTGCCTGGCACTTGGCATTAAAAGGGTAAAGTAAGGATGTGCATGTGTGTGAGTGAGAGTGAGGGAGGGAGCGAGTGAGCATGTGTGCGTGTTCAGTAATATTGAAGGCCACGTTAAACACTTTACCTTACAACATTCTCGTTTCAAGCTCAAACATACTGTATAACACAAACAATCAAAACATATACATCGGTGATTACATTGCATTCAAAAGTTTTCACAAATGGAACTACTTTCTGTTGAAATCAAAATGGCGTCTCCTAGACATACGGCATTTCTTCTCAAGTCAAATGCATGCTTTATGTATGGTTTGCAGGTACGGTGTGGATGAATTGGACTCTGGTTGGCGCCGTAAGCCTCTCAATACCGTTGTTGTTGATGTTAAGAGAGAAACACCATCGACTGGATGTGGATGAGACAAGACCAGGACTCACCACGAACTGATGTGCAGTACCAGCTGGTTCCTTGGATGTACGGGATGGGCTGGTCATACATCCTTGTCTCCTTTGTTGCTTATGCATTTTCACAACGGAGAGGATTAAACAGGACTGAGAAAACGTCTACTGGTTCAGTGAATTTTTAAGGCTAGAATTATCTTTGCAACGTTAGTCATGCGTTGTTGTTTCTTGAGACTGGTTTAAAAGCAAAGGCATTTTTTATTATTAAACAATGGAATTTAGGGAAAATAGCATATTACACCAACGAACCCAGCCGTGCATCCCATGCATATTAACAAACATACCTTCCAATGCCCTGACTTCAGGGTTAACCTAGGGTTGACGTCGTTCATGATGTATTACATCCTCGATCAAGATGCTAAAAGTATTTTCCTTCCTCGGAAGCTTAAGACTATCATCACTATCATTATATACGTGGGAATCCATACAATGGAAACGTGTTTGTCGCTATATATGTTGACTTTGAAGTAGGCACCACTTAAGACCATATCAGTGTTGACTACCTTCATACGGAGGCTGAAGACCATACCAGTGTTGACTCCCTTCATACGGAGGCTAAAGACCATACCAGTGTTGACTACCTTCATACGGAGGCTGAAGACCATACCAGTGTTGACTACCTTCATACGGAGACTGAAGACCTAACCAGTGTTGACTACCTTCATACGGAGGCTGAAGACCTTACCAGTGTTGACTACCTTCATACGGAGGATGAAGACCATACCAGTGTTGACTACCTTCATACGGAGGCTGAAGACCATACCAGTGTTGACTACCTTCATACGGAGGCTGAAGACCTAACCAGTGTTGACTACCTTCATACGGAGGATGAAGACCCAACCAGTGTTTTGACTACCCTAATACGGAGGCTGAAGACCATACCAGTGTTGACTACCTTCATACGGAGGCTGAAGACCATACCAGTGTTGACTACCTTCATACGGAGGCTGAAGACCATACCAGTGTTGACTACCTTCATACGGAGGCTGAAGACCATATCAGTGTTGACTCACGGAGGCTGAAGACCATACCAGTGTTGACTACCTTCATACGGAGGCTGAAGACCATACCAGTGTTGACTATCTTCATACGGAGGCTGAAGACCATATCAGTGTTGACTCACGGAGGCTGAAGACCATACCAGTGTTGACTATCTTCATACGGAGGCTGAAGACCATACCTGTGTTGACTACCTTCATACGGAGGCTGAAGATCAAACCACTGTGGCCTCTGACCAACGTTAAAAAGGATCTTAGTAACATCCGGACTGATGAATCCGTTCGTACTGTGTACTTGTTAACTGTACAAAGTGTGATATGTGATATTTATTGAAATATTTGTTTGATAGCTTTACAAATGTCAGAATACACAATGTTCATCCCAAATATATATGTTACATTTTCGATGATGTGTGTGTGAGTTGAATATGTCTTGTGTTTAAAATGATGTTTGTATTACTGCATTTTCCATACATATTTTTGTGAATTGAATTAAATAAAGGGTATTTAATCTCCATTGGGTATATTTTTTATTTACTAGTAGAATCAAACAATTTGTCAAATAAATCTATGGCTATTTGAGACAATATGTACTGTGACTGACCAATGTAGGTGTGGGTGTAAACTCTGCACAACACAAGGGTGTCAGGTAATCTCTTAAGCTGCTGGGCTACTGACCAATGTAGGTGTGGGTGTAAACTCTGCACAACACAAGGGTGTCAGGTAATCTCTTAAGCTGCTGGGCTACTGACCAATGTAGGTGTGGGTGTAAACTCTGCACAACACAAGGGTGTCAGGTAATCTCTTAAGCTGCTGGGCTACTGACCAATGTGGGTGTGGGTGTAAACTCTGCACAACACAAGGGTGTCAGGTAATCTCTTTATTTGCTGGGCTACTGACCAATGTAGGTGTGGGTGTAAACTCTGCACAACACAAAGGGTGTCAGGTAATCTCTTAAGCTGCTGGGCTACTGACCAATGTGGGTGTGGGTGTAAACTCTGCACAACACAAGGGTGTCAGGTAATCTCTTTATTTGCTGGGCTACTGACCAATGTAGGTGTGGGTATAAACTCTGCACAACACAAGGGTGTCAGGTAATCTCTTAAGCTGCTGGGCTACTGACCAATGTAGGTGTGGGTGTAAACTCTGCACAACACAAGGGTGTCAGGTAATCTCTTAAGCTGCTGGGCTACTGACCAATGTAGGTGTGGGTGTAAACTCTGCACAACACAAAGGGTGTCAGGTAATCTCTTAAGCCGCTGGGCTACTGACCAATGTAGGTGTGGGTGTAAACTCTGCACAACACAAGGGTGTCAGGTAATCTCTTAAGCTGCTGGGCTACTGACCAATGTAGGTGTGGGTGTCAACTCTGCACAACACAAGGGTGTCAGGTAATCTCTTAGCTGCTGGGCTACTGACCAATGTAGGTGTGGGTGTAAACTCTGCACAACACAAGGGTGTCAGGTAATCTCTTAAGCTGCTGGGCTACTGACCAATGTGGGTGTGGGTGTAAACTCTGCACAACACAAGGGTGTCAGGTAATCTCTGAAGCTGCTGGGCTACTGACCAATGTAGGTGTGGGTGTAAACTCTGCACAACACAAGGGTGTCAGGTAATCTCTTAAGCTGCTGGGCTACTGACCAATGTGGGTGTGGGTGTAAACTCTGCACAACACAAGGGTGTCAGGTAATCTCTTAAGCTGCTGGGCTACTGACCAATGTGGGTGTGGGTGTAAACTCTGCACAACACAAGGGTGTCAGGTAATCTCTTGAAGCTGCTGGGCTACTGACCAATGTAGGTGTGGGTGTAAACTCTGCACAACACAAGGGTGTCAGGTAATCTCTTAAGCTGCTGGGCTACTGACCAATGTAGGTGTGGGTGTAAACTCTGCACAACACAAGGGTGTCAGGTAATCTCTTAAGCTGCTGGGCTACTGACCAATGTAGGTGTGGGTATAAACTCTGCACAACACAAGGGTGTCAGGTAACTCTTAAGCTGCTGGGCTACTGACCAATGTAGGTGTGGGTGTAAACTCTGCACAACACAAGGGTGTCAGGTAATCTCTTAAGCTGCTGGGCTACTGACCAATGTAGGTGTGGGTATAAACTCTGCACAACACAAGGGTGTCAGGTAATCTCTTAAGCTGCTGGGCTACTGACCAATGTAGGTGTGGGTGTAAACTCTGCACAACACAAGGGTGTCAGGTAACTCTTAAGCTGCTGGGCTACTGACCAATGTAGGTGTGGGTATAAACTCTGCACAACACAAGGGTGTCAGGTAATCTCTTAAGCCGCTGGGCTACTGACCAATGTAGGTGTGGGTGTAAACTCTGCACAACACAAGGGGTGTCAGGTAATCTCTTAAGCTGCTGGGCTACTGACCAATGTAGGTGTGGGTATAAACTCTGCACAACACAAGGGTGTCAGGTAATCTCTTAAGCTGCTGGGCTACCCCAGACCAAATGTAGGTGTGGGTGTAAACTCTGCACAACACAAGGGTGTCAGGTAATCTTTAAGCTGCTGGGCTACTGACCAATGTGGGTGTGGGTGTAAACTCTGCACAACACAAGGGGTGTCAGGTAATCTCTTAAGCTGCTGGGCTACTGACCAATCTGGGTGTGGGTGTAAACTCTGCACAACACAAAGGGTGTCAGGTAATCTCTTAAGCTGCTGGGCTACTGACCAATATAGTGTGGGTGTAAACTCTGCACAACACAAGGGTGTCAGGTAATCTCTTGCGCTGCTGGGCTACTGACCAATGTAGGTGTGGGTGTAAACTCTGCACAACACAAGGGTGTCAGGTAATCTCTTAAGCTGCTGGGCTACTGACCAATGTGGGTGTGGGTGTAAACTCTGCACAACACAAAGGGTGTCAGGTAATCTCTTAAGCTGCTGGGCTACTGACCAATGTAGGTGTGGGTGTAAACTCTGCACAACACAAGGGTGTCAGGTAATCTCTTAAGCTGCTGGGCTACTGACCAATGTGGGTGTGGGTGTAAACTCTGCACAACACAAGGGTGTCAGGTAATCTCTTAAGCTGCTGGGCTACTCACAATGGACAATGTCCTATGCTTTATTAAAGATGTTGTGTTGTGTTATTGTACATATTCTTGAACTGACCGTTCACCTAAGCAGCAATGCTCATATCTATCATTTTGATGTACTTTCTAATAGTCTGTAGTTTGTAATATGTTGCTGAAATAGTTAAATCAGTAAGAAAATGAACACCATAGAGGTTACCAAACAACAACCTTTGTACAACATGGTAAGGATCACTTGGCCATACTTAGTTTACTTTCTCTTTGTCAGTGTTTGTACAACGAGTGTTAAAGGGTGTACACAATAATGCAATGTCGGGCGATGGGATAGCCTAGTGGTGAAAGCATTCGCTCGTCACACCAGATTCGATTCCCCACATTTGTACAACATGTGAAGACTATTTCTGGTGTCGGCGGCCGTGCTAGTGTGGGAATATAGCAACAAAAACACGACGTAAAACTATATTCCTCACTTAATCTGAAGCAAATATTTGTACACGTGAAAAATGAAAAAGTTTGATGAAAAAGATCAATATGGGTTAACGTCTTATGGACTTCGTTATCTTTGGACTGCCAACGGGTATGATAACGACCATTAAATTATTTTATAGTAGAAAGTTTACTTTTGAAACATCGCTTTAAGGAGAATAGATTCAGCAATTTTAAATATGTAAAAAGAGTGATTTTAAAATACTCAGGCCAAAGCAAACAGCTTATTTCTATTCGTGATGTGGTGAGAAATCTTCAAAACAAATATCGATGAATTTCGAAAAACAGCCATAACAACAAAATGGATGTGATGTGGTCTTAATTTCAAACAGCTTACAAAACTAGATCTCGGAAACGTTGATAGTTTATCTGGAGGTGGAATGTATACATTGTCCGATAACGTAATCGTAACGCGGAGACGAGGTCAAGGTTGAACCAGAAAATCATTGTGCTGAACGACCTCCTAAATAGTGATGTTGTTATAGCCGTACAAGAAAGAACAACCACCATCAACCCCAACAAACAAAACGTTACATTAAATATAAAGAAATACAAAACCAACAAAAAGGGCTAAAGAAAAGGGCCCCTTGACCTTGTAAAGTCGTCATCAGTGTAGAATCCCCAGGAAGATAATATACGTATGACGTCATAACAATGGACATCGTGATAAAAACGAGCTGGAACGATTCCGACAATATCATGAGTATTAGTCAAATAGTGATAATGCTAGATGTACAAGATCGACAACATTTCATAACTAAAAATAACCAATTCACTAAGAGCCGATTATGTTTCAATTTCGAGAGAAGAGAATACATACACTGAAACCTGGATTTGGAGTGAGTGAGTGGTTAAGTTTTACACCGCACTCAGCAATATTCCAGCAATATGTCCATGGTCTGTAAATAATTGGATCTGGACCAGACAATCCAGTGATCAACAGCATGATCATCGATCTACACAATTGGGATACGATGACATGTGTCAACCCGATCCCGTTAGTCGCCTCTTACGACAAGCATGGGTTACAGAAGACCAATTCTAACACGGATCTTCACGGGTCTCCTGGATTTGAAAAATAACAACCGTTCTAAATACGTTAACGGGCTAAATGTGATCTCAACACAGTCGAAACACTGTAAATTTAATGTTCAACACAATGCTATGAAATCAGTATAAAATACAACACACCGCTTTTCGTTCGTTTCAATGTTAACTGTTCTCAAGACGTGTGTTTATTTTCTTTTGCCTGACAGTTTAGTTGGGCTGTAAATATAACTACAATAGTTCGGCGAAATACTATACCCAGGTACACTGTTACACTACAAAGCTCTTATATCTTACTTAAGTGGATTGTGTACTCTGTTGTGTAACAGATGTGTCAGTACTTAGATGGTATTTGTATTGATTTGTAAACTAGGTATTTTGTAGCCTGTGGTGAATTGTATAACCTCTCTTTGCTATTTGTTTGTTTGTTTCACACTGAATTCTTTTGCGTTTGCGTATATGTATATGGGTTAACCTACTATTGCGAGTTGGACGTCGTCACATACTGTATGTGAATGTTTATCTTGTATCTGTATGATAACCGGTATCCCATCTCCCAAGGCTTGAGTCATCTGTGTACTCACAATATATGACATGTGCATGCACTTCACACATGCCAGTGACAACACGTTAAATGATAGGTCACTATAGCTGTGATTTTACAGCTGAAGCAGTTACTCTAAAGGTTAGTGCCCCATGTCGTTTTCTTCTTCATCTCGGTCTCCTCCATCAGATCAGACCATCACAGGTATGGGGTCCAGTGTTCTTGCTTCCGTGCATGTCGTTTTCTAGAAGACGAAGTCATTTATGATCACACAAAAGGCCATATGAACTTTCTTGGTCAGTGTCCGTCAAACGATTTGACCAACATTTTACTGGTCAGCTTTCGTTTCGATGTCAAGATCCATGAAGATATGTAAAATGTCTTCAGCAGCCATGCTGCCGTAAGAGAGGACTAACGGTAAAGAGGGTGAGGTTCGATGACTGGATTGATACCTGTCATCTTACACATATTGCACAGATCGATGTTGATGTTTTCAACTACTGGATTGTCTGGTCCAGACTTGGCTAAATACAAACCTTCGTCATTCAGCTGGAATACTTCTAAGGCATATGGAACAAACCACAAATATATAAACATATCTAAAGTTAATAATGTTATTCTCCAAAAAATATGTTCGTTAGATTTTGATAAACATTTCAAAACAGAAAACAAAACCCATTTAGTCGCCCAGTGATGGGTTCTGCCGGTAGAGCAGGACAGGCTTGCCTTTACTGATACCTGGTGTTACTGATTTTCACTCATCCATTTATATATCTGTAACCACTCTGCTATGTTTTACACCTATGGAATCTGCTTTCGGAAATAAAACAGGTTGATTGCGGGACGAATACAGCAGTAAGTGATAATCTGTTTGTCACCCATAAAGACTCATATCTTTCTCAGCCAGTGCTATGTGAACAGTTACCCTGAGTAATGTGCTTGTTAGATCAACAGAAATAGTTCCTTAAAACTGAAATTTAAGATCCGACTCTGCAGTCATTAAGAATGTCAAGATTAAACAAGTGTATGTAAAGAAGCATCATGCATTGTAAATATGTGCTGTTATATATAAAGTACGAGAAATCGAGAACCCTAATATGGTTTTAGTTTGTAAACCATTCAGCCCTAATATTTCAGATGATTTTCATAAAGATGCAGGAAGATGCCAAACATTCTATACACATTTCGAAATTCATTAAAGATTGGCATGTCTTTAATGACATTTGACAACCTTCACGCAATCCTGTAGAGCTTGCTTGATAACGAATGGCGTGCCGAATGCGACAGCTGATTCAGGAATCAGCAATTCACATCATTAACAAATGCTAATCATATACACAGAAATCAGTTATCATTCGTTAACCAACTATCTTTTGATGCCCTTTTCAGGTTTACAATGGGAGATACTGACACATCACCGCTGCTCTCTGGACAACAAATACAAGAAACCCCTTCCTACTGTTCTACAAACACATCGGAAGCTGACACCTCAATCCGGTACAGCTCCACATCTCACAAAGAAGGATTATCTCCTCCTGACGACACGAAAGAAGTCTCTGTGCCAAATCAACAGGACATTTCACAAGAGCATGGCCGACTTTACAAGAGAAGATGGTACATAGTAGTGTTGTTTTCCCTGCTGTCGTCCATACAAATGCTTGTCTGGAACACGTGGGGACCCATCTCCCACACAGCTGAGGCAGTGTTTGGTTGGGATGATGCCGATATTTCATTACTTGCAAACTGGGGCCCTATTACCTTCATGATAACCATGCCTATATTTGCCTGGATGATGGATACAAAAGGTGAGACTACTTTCTGTGAGTCAGATAATGTAGTCGTCTGGCATCCTTTTACATCTGTGCTGTTATGGATGTGAACTGCCAGGCAAATGAAAGGAAGGATAACAATATATGGATGAACAACTTCTTTATTGCTGTGAGAGCGACGTTTCCGTGTGGTTCTAACACAGTTATCAAGCAAGTGATGGTCATGGTGTTAGAACCCACACCGAAACGTCGCTCTCAGCAATAAGACGTTGTTCATTCATACATTGTTATCCTTCCTTACTGCTCCAACTTATAAATGTCTCTCAAAGAAGTTAGGCAGATGAAAATCGGATTTGACTAAATAATTATAAAATCAAAACGTTGCGAGGCTGGATGCAAAACTACAAGGTATAAACCTGTATCCAATGCACCACCACCAATAACCATTCTTGTTTCTTGCCATTATAGGCCACCATGAAACGTTGTGTATCGTCTCGAGCCGGCACTTCAGTTACCGGATGAGACAACCTTTCTGTCATTTTTAATACGTCAGTATTCTACATTGTATAGGCATAATTTTTCATTGATGGTACAGGAATCAAAGCAGCGACAAAGTCCAGCTTAACCTCCCTAAAGATAAAGATGTGTTTTTATATACATGATGCTTATAGTGTGAACTTCATATATTAACTCTTATGTTCTCATCGTCAGTCCTCTTTAGTGGCGTATCAGGACTATGGGACTGTGTAGCTTCAGGTTATATGTGTTTCATTTTCGAGCGTTCTGGTTTTCCTCTGATCTATGATACAAGGATGTATTGAATGGAAGCCAGTGTATTCACATTTTTAGTTGAATACAGTACAACAATAGAAAAATAATAGAACAGCAGGGGCGTTCCACAAAACAAACCGACACGTCTTAGCAAATATCACACCGGGTATGTCTCTTTTTGCGTAGGTCTGAGAATGTGTATGGTTATCACAGTGCTGGGTTTGGGATTAGGCTGTGGGATCCGATTGATTCCTACTCAACAACCGTCATTGCTGCATCGGTGGTGAGTATTGTCCCTAATTTCTTTGTGACAAAATACTGTATCTGACTTTTCAATGAATCTGTATTGATCCGGTATCGTTGAAATGCCTGTGACAGTGAAATGAAGGTCAAGACGGTATGACGGTGAATGGAATGGTGCTCGTGTTTTTTTAGACTGGGCATTCCAAGAGAACCGTACTATGCTAGTGTAGCAGTCACAAACAGAGCTAACATGGCCGTTTAGTGGAACCACACCATAGTAATGGACAATGAATAATAACACCATTGGGCACAGTCAGGTGACAAAATTCTTCCGAAACAGCTAACGAATGGAGTTTAAACGTAACGGTCATGTGTTTTTACAACAATAATGACACCTGTATATGCTCAAGAGGTTTGATATGGTTGATATGGCGACCAACAGCTAGTGGTGGGCTCAGTGGTGGGCTGCAGGCTTTTCATTAAAATTGACCCAGATTTGACCTTTGCTTTCCTCACAGGACAAATGTAAATGGTTTCTCCCGGCCATTTTCTTTTGACAAAGGTAACGACATTTTGTATATTTGTAGTTAGTAGTGTGTAGTCATTGCGCTATTTAACCGTTTCGCCTGTATTTGCCCTTTGGTCATTTCACATGCTATTGAATTCTTTCGAAATGTAGGAACTCACACTGAAAAAGAATCTTCTCACGAAACAATGGGCCACGGACGAGCAGCACATGCCAGTTTATTCAAGAGATTTAAATCTGATTTTCAGTATGGCTGTCACAGAGATATGGGAAACGCTAAATTTGAAATGAGTGATTGTTTAGCAATTTTTATTCAAGCTGTAAAGAAAATTTGTTTTTGTTTAGGTTGTTATTAGACTCAACACATACTATTCCCTTTTAGAATATATTAAATTTCACCTTGTTTTGACCATGCTCTTAACTCCATTGACATGCATGTTTGGCTCTGTAAACTTATAATCCTATGGTCTAGCCAGCCAGGTGAAGCTTTTGAGTTTCTCTTTATGATCATGGTGACATCATATATTGTTTACTAGATTGGAGTTAGGTAATCCTACAGACATTGTTTGAATATTATTGCTTCCGATTATTCAATAAAACAGATTCCATTATCCATTAGGATCATGGAGAAAAGTGAATGAATAATTCTTTGTTCACCGAAATATTTCGGTGAGCTACAGTGCTATTGTTCTGTCTTGCACTTCATTTGTTTCAGGTTGATCAACGCTGGTCAGATACTTAATGCTATCGGAGGACCGGTCTGCACGAGCGCAATGGCGCCGATATCTTCACATTGGTTTCCTCCACACGAAAGGACAACAGCGACTGCAATCCCGCTGATAATCAAGTTCCTGGTTCTTGCTGGCTCTTTTATCATTGGTAGATCTATTTTGGGGGTTATAATGATTTCATGTCAGCAGTTCGTTTGTAGTAATTCAATTGCCTTGTTGTGTAGTTCTGTGGTTAACAAGTTCGCCAAGCACACTGAACAGCAGGTTTTGAGCCCAACTAGGATTCATACTGTCGAAAGAGGAGTTATTGTTTTATCCACATTTAACGTTCACATCGGCGTTTTAAATGAGGTTCTTTGATTCAGGAAATTTCATTATTCTGCAAAATCAAAAGTCAGTCGTTGTAAAGATTGGCTAGTAAACATATATTGTAACATTGACTGAAACATTACTGTAAAGTGTAGTGGTATAATGGTAAGTGTACGTATTTTATCATCATTACCTCATAGGTTTCAGACCCGTGAAGATCCGGGTTAGAATTGATCTTCAGTAACACATGCTTGTCCAAAAAGGCGACTAACGGGATCGGATGGTCAGGCTCGCTGACTTGGTCGACACATATCACCGTTTTCCAATTGCGTAGATCTATGCTCATGCTGTTGATCACTGGAATTTCTGGTCCAGACTCGATTATTTACAGACCGCCGTCATATAGCTGGAATATTGCTGAGTGCGGCGTAAAAGTAAACTAATTCACTCACTCATTGGTTTCTTTTCGTCGTTGGGACTCCGGCTGAGGAAATGGGTTTTATTATTTTAGAGGCGACTAAATGGTTGGTTGATTGCGTGTAATCAGTCTATATTCCGTCGGATATTGGATTGTCTTGTAAAGGTTATATGTTTTGCAAACACCATTTATATTATGTGTTACTGGGTGTTACGTTAACACAAACATTTTTGTGGTGAATAACCTTGAATACATATTGTCTTTCATTTTCAGGTCCAATTCTGGTTCCAGATGCATCTAGACTGAATCAGAATCGTACCGCCTCCAATACAACATTTAGGTATAGATCGGAGGTATCATTATTGTTTATAAACAGAACCACGAATTCAGATAAAAGGGATGCTGTTTTACTTATGCCAAAAGATACTTCAATACGAAAAGACAGATTTCTCTTATTACGTTGCATCCCACACATTTTAAAGTCTCTTCACGTAGAAGTATGTCATTGATTCATGTTTCATTTTGTTCATTGACATTGTTTTTTGTGAACAGCCTTGAAGATTATTCTGATATTGGTGAAAGTGGAAATCGCAGCAATATTTCAGGTTGGTTGAACCGATTTCAGCATACGAGGTATCTGTAGTATTTTGTAGTTAAAGGATTTACTACTCAAACAGACAATACTGTTCGTGTGGGTGTAACGTTGAACCACATCTAAGCATTACCTGATTTGTCTCTGGTTTGACTTGTACCATGTTCTCGTGTACTTGAGGTGAAAAAAATCGTTGCCTTGTGTGTGTCTGTCAGGTGAGCCACCAGTGAGGTATGATACACCCATTTTTTCGAGAAGAATATTATCATCGCTATTGGATAGTGAATCATAAATACATACTCATGATGGAGCTGGAATCGTCAATCGACGCTGCTTTTAACGGGGAGTTCTCTTGTGAATATGAATAAAGATGTCAATATTATTTTAGACTTACCTCATGCGCTCAAACCGCTATACCGTTGTAAATATGAACATCATTTCATATTGGCATTTTGGTGACATATTTATTAGCACCTGTGACCTCTAATTATGAAGGATCAACAAGGGCAGTCTAGGACAACACTATGAAGAGTGTAAGGTGTTTTTCTAATCTTGGGTTTAAATCCCATATAGCCCTGATTACGATTCTAACTTTGTCAGCACCTGACTCGCGGGTTTCACCAAGTGTCCTTTGTTCAGGGTTTACTTCAACATGAAACTAATTTCACTGCGACGCCCTTGTGAGCGACGTTAAGCAATAATCATTCACTCTCTCGGTTCCATATGATTCAAACCCGTGAAGGTCCGGGTCAGAATGTACCTTTAGTAACCCATGCTTGTCGTAAGAGGCGACTAACGGGATCGGGTGGTCAGGCTCGCTGACTTGGTTGACACATGTCATCGGTTCCCAACTGTGCAGATCGATGCTCATGCTGCTGATCACTGGATTGTCTGGTCCAGACTCGATTATTTACAGACTGCCGCCATATAGCTGGAATATTGCTGAGTGCGGCGTAAAACTAAACTCACTCACTCACTCATATGATTCATATTAGTATATCTATTGATATAGGTATTTAACATGAACATGATCCATATTGGTACAACTATTGGTGTAGGTATTGTGGAAGGGAGTGTGTGAGCGGTACGTCTCTGTGTGTCACAGTTTCCAGAGTTGTGGGTTCTATTGAACATCCCATGCTTTGAAAGTCTAACATTAGAAGGCTACGCCTTATGCATTCTATCAAACCCGACATGTGAACACACTCTTCACCTAATAATGCTGGAATACTAGTATCATCCATAAGGTTCAGCCGTACATATAAATTTTATAATAATGTTGCAAATGGTGTTCTGTTTGTAGGGCATACCGTGGAGGAACTGAAAAAGGATATCTATTTCTACCTTGAACTCCGTAAGTGTTTGGATTGAGCAAATGGTTTACAAAATTAGGATTAAGAGGTTCGATAAGAAACGGGCTTTGATTCAGACAAGAACGCACTCCATGAAGCGAAGTCTCGATGACTTTGATAAAGATGTTGTGAACATTACTCGATAACATTCCAAAACAGATAATATATTTCGCAACAACAGCTAATGATTCCAAAGGCTCATCCTCGATTTCCGAGATTGTCATACCGACGTTACCGAAGTATTAATCTCCATCGCTCATGGGAGCACTTCCATTGGGAGGCTAATCTTACTGTCTTGCGAAGTGAATAGACCTAACGTATTTGTCAGTCAATGGCGACTTCATTCCCCCGACAACAGAGGATTGCTTACAAAATGACAATCAACATATGAAATAGTTTTGGCTTAAACCACATTACTACTATTTACATTGCCCTTAAGGAGTCCAATATTGAGCAGTGTGTATTGTGTTCTGTCAGGCTTGTGCGGCAGGTGTACTACACGTGCTGATACTGGTGTGTATTGTGTTTTGTCAGAGGCTTGTGCGGCATGCAGGTGTACTGCTCGTGCTGACACTGGTGTGTATTGTCTTCTGTCAGAGGCTTGTGCGGCAGGTGTACTACACGTGCTAATACTGGTGTGTATTGTGTTTTGTCAGAGGCTTGTGCGGCAGGTGTACTGCACGTGCTGACACTGGAGAGTAAAGTGTTCTGTCAGAGGCTTGTGCGGCAGGTGTACTACTCGTGCTGATACTGGTGTGTATTGTGTTTTGTCAGAGGCTTGTGCGGCAGGTGTACTACTCGTGCTGATACTGGTGTGTATTGTGTTTTCTCAGAGGCTTGTGCGGCAGGTGTACTACACGTGCTGATACTGGTGTGTATTGTGTTTTGTCAGAGGCTTGTGCGGTAGGTGTACTACTCGTGCTGATACTGGTGTGTATTGTCTTCTGTCAGAGGCTTGTGCGGCAGGTGTACTACACTTGCTAATACTGGTGTGTATTGTGTTTTGTCAGAGGCTTGTGCGGCAGGTGTACTGCACGTGCTGACACTGGAGAGTAATGTGTTCTGTCAGAGGCTTGTGCGGCAGGTGTACTACTCGTGCTGATACTGGTGTGTATTGTGTTTTGTCAGAGGCTTGTGCGGCAGGTGTACTACTCGTGCTGATACTGGTGTGTATTGTGTTTTGTCAGAGGCTTGTGCGGCAGGTGTACTACACGTGCTGATACTGGTGTGTATTGTGTTTTGTCAGAGGCTTGTGCGGCAGGTGTACTACTCGTGCTGATACTGGTGTGTATTGTGTTTTGTCAGAGGCTTGTGCGGCAGGTGTACTACACGTGCTGACACTGGTGTGTATTGTGTTTTGTCAGAGGCTTGTGCGGCAGGTGTACTACTCGCTGCTGATACTGGTGTGTATTGTGTTTTGTCAGAGGCTTGTGCGGCAGGTGTACTACACGTGCTAATACTGGTGTGTATTGTGTTTTGTCAGAGGCTTGTGCGGCAGGTGTACTACTCGTGCTGATACTGGTGTGTATTGTGTTTTGTCAGAGGCTTGTGCGGCAGGTGTACTACTCGTACTGATACTGATGTGTATTGTGTTTTGTCAGAGGCTTGTGCGGCAGGTGTACTGCACGTGCTGATACTGGTGAGTATTGTGTTTTGTCAGAGGCTTGTGCGGCAGGTGTAATACTACTCGTACTGATACTGGTGTGTATTGTGTTTTGTCAGAGGCTTGTGCGGCAGGTGTACTACACGTGCTGATACTGATGTGCTGATTGTGTGTTTGTCAGAGGAGGCTTGTGCGGCAGGTGTACTACTCGTGCTGATACTGGTGTGTATTGTGTTTTGTCAGAGGCTTGTGCGGCAGGTGTACTACTCGCTGATACTGATGTGTATTGTGTTTTGTCAGAGGCTTGTGCGGCAGGTGTACTACTCGCTGCTGATACTGGTGTGTATTGTGTTTTGTCAGAGGCTTGTGCGGCAGGTGTACTACACGTGCTGATACTGGTGTGTATTGTGTTTTGTCAGAGGCTTGTGCGGCAGGTGTACTGCACGTGCTGATACTGGTGTGTATTGTGTTTTGTCAGAGGCTTGTGCGTCATGCAGGTGTACTACACGTGCTGATACTGGTGTGTATTGTGTTTTGTCAGAGGCTTGTGCGGCAGGTGTACTACTCGTGCTGATACTGGTGTGTATTGTGTTTTGTCAGAGGCTTGTGCGGCAGGTGTACTACACGTGCTGATACTGGTGTGTATTGTGTTTTGTCAGAGGCTTGTGCGGCAGGTGTACTACACGTGCTGATACTGGTGTGTATTGTGTTTTGTCAGAGGCTTGTGCGGCAGGTGTACTACTCGTGCGGATACTGATGTGTATTGTGTTTTGTCAGAGGCTTGTGCGGCAGGTGTAGTACTCGTGCTGACACTAGTGTACTTCCCCAGCAAGCCACCGACGCCGCCATGTCGCTCAGCTGCACTGAAGAGGGAAGACTTCCTACCTGGACTGAAGCTACTTGTTGTGTGAGTGACAGTCACCTGTCCTAGATTATGTAGCGATTGGCGGCATCAGTTATCCCTATATCCTACATTATTGGTAATATGTCCCAGATAATGTCCTAGGTTATATTGAGTGAGTGGGTGTGGGTGGGTAGGTTGGTTTGTGGTCGAGTGAGTGAGTGAGAGAAAGTAAACGAGGGAGTGAGCGGTTAGTGAATACGACACAACTTGGTCAAATATGAATGGAAGTTTCATAGGAATTGTATTTGTGAGTTTTAGAATGATATGAGGTAGCTTAGGCGGTCAAAGTGTTCTCATTTATTAACACCTAAGGTCCGGGTTCTATTCCCCACATGGATACATCCCATTTTCTGGTGTCCCCGTCATGATATTGGTAAAATATTTGCTTGAGAAGATAATATTGTTTGTGTTTTTCTCATTTTGATATTTTGTGAATTCATCCGGTTATATGTGTTGTATATCTGATTGTCTGTATCCTGAAATCTGATAATTTAAAGTTGCCTTTATATGGTTTAGTCGTATTTGGCTAAATGTCAAGAACAAACGACACATTAATGTATAGTGATTTATATTTCTAGAAATGTCAACTTCTGGATCCTGTCTGTAATATCCGTTCTGGTTGGCGGGTTTAGCGGGGCGTGGATGGGTGTGTTCAGCCTCAATTTGAAATCAGTGGACGTGAGTCAGAAGGAGGCAGGGTGGATCGGCTTCTACAGCTACGTGGCGGTGTGTACGGGGATGCTGATTCTGGCAAGGTAGACACATGCTCACTGTTCAGTCACGGTACCAAGAGCATTACGTTGTCGATAGCTTTAACGTCGAAGAACTTTATAGTTTAGGCCACCGGTTTCAATATGCGATCAATGTAGATAGCTGCGCGTAGCTGAGTTACTTCCTGTAGAGCAGGTCATGCCTTCCTTTTCCACGAGCAACTGGTGTCATTACAGACGTTCAGTGATCCACTTATAATATTTTCACTATATATTTCCCCATCATGCCAAAAGGAATCTGCTCCTAGGGTAAGTGAAGACTGGGTATTCTTGAGGATAATCAAGATTTAGGTATTCCTGAGGATAGTCAAGATTGGGTATTCCAGAGTATAGTCAAGATTGGGTATTCTTGAGTAAAGTCAAGATTGGGTATTCCTGTATTCTTGAGTAAAGTCAAGACTGGGTATTCCTGAGTATAGTCAAGATTGGGTATTCCTGAGTATAGTCAAGACTGGGTATTCCTGAGTATAATCAAGATTGGGTATTCCTGAGTAAAGTCAAGATTGGGTATTCCTAAATATAGTCAAGATTTAGGTATTCCTGGGGATAATCAAGATTGGGTATTCCTGAGTATAATCAAGATTGGGTATTCCTGAGTATAATCAAGACTGGGTATTCCTGAGTAAAGTCAAGACTGGGTATTCCTGAGTATAGTCAAGACTGGGTATTCCTGAGTATAGTCAAGACTGGGTATTCCTGGGGATAATCAAGACTGGGTATTCCTGAGTATAATCAAGACTGGGTATTCCTGAGTAAAGTCAAGACTGGGTATTCCTGAGTATAGTCAAGACAGGGTATCCTGAGTATAATCAAGATTGGGTATTCCTGAGGATAATCAAGACTGGGTATTCCTGAGAGGCACCGTGACCCGATTTCGTAACACAGTCGACCTGATGGACCGTCTTGAGCGCGAGTTGTCGCCCTTTGTCGTGTGTCAATAACGTCTCTTGTCTATGGTAATCTGCTAATTACACTGAAACGTAAAGACCTTGTGCCGCAATGCCTGTCTAGTTCCATCTTCCAGCATGCCAGACGCATGAAGCCGTTCCTGAGGTGACAGGCACCGTTATAATCAGACCGTTTATTTTAGTTTAAAACAATTTATATCAAATACCTCCCCATTTGTTTTCTCAAATATTCATTACGTCGTAAATTTAGGATTTTACCCATGTTCACGAGCACATCATTAAATAACTTTCACGAAACTGTGGTGTTCAACGAAATATATAACACCTTGTGAACTTGGTTCCTAAATCTTATTATCCCAAAATGGAATATCCCGTACTAATGTGTCCATTATTTTCTTCAGATTGACCGACTACTTTGCTCGCTATATGAAGTGGTACATCTCGGGCTTATACTTGATATCCGCATCCATGTACTTATGGTTCGCTCTCATCTGCATCAAAGTGGCGCCGTTTTCTTTGGGTATGTATTAAACTATATTCTCATCGAAGCATTTACTTCAAGAACCTTACACAAGCGCACAATTATGTGCGCCAAACGCCCTCATAGAACTTAATTCTTTCAAAGATTTAGTCATGAAAGTAATGGTTAACTGATTCTTATGGGGTTATGAAACGTCAGTTCAGTCGTCATTAAAAACTGAAATGTAAGAAAATCATTGCTTGTGATGACTTACTTCTTTGATTGGCATTTTAGAAGTTGAGAAGTACAATATAGACAAACTTTATTGATAGCAACTTCTTTATTTCGTCAGTGCGACATTTCGATAGAGATCCTTGTACCGTTGTCTAGCTTCACCAAATAAGAAGTTGTTTTTCATAAAGTTTGTCTATATAGTGTATGGCTTTGTGTCACATATTGGAGACATTTGCTTCTGGTTTGCTATAAGCGGCGCTCTCGGGTGATTGGCTGAAAGGTGTTAATATTTTAATTTAAAAAAATCAAGAAAAGTCAAGACAAAAAGCAGTATTTGCATGTTTACTGTATAAAGTGTTTTATGCCATCAAACCGACACACATATGTTATATTCAGAAAGATCAGACAGACAGACAAGTATATTCAGTAAAAGACCACAGGCCCATCATACAGTCATTTGCATATGGTATTGATAGTCTAGTGCACATGTTGGAAGAGTTCTAATGCGCTGTACAGAACATAATACAGAACAATACTAACATCTTTTATGAAACAGTCATTATTTGTTTTCATAATGTTAATAAAATTGGCATTTGGATCAAAATCAGTCAAATATTTCTCCTCATATACTCTCACCCAGAGCGTCTTTTGTGATACTTCTTATCAACTAAGATAGTTTATTATTATTTTTATTATAGGATATTTATATAGCTCACATGTCCAGGCAACTAGTGCATGCTCAAGGCGCTGGTATTTGTTCCCTCGATCTTTGGATGTCAATCTCAACGTCACATCGTATTATCAATCTCAACTCCCTGGGGAGTATACAACTCTTGCAGCCACTAGGCGCACCGAGTTATTGTGGCTTCTCATCCTAACGAGTTTACACTTTTAACAAATAACTGAACAAACAATGAAACTCGCATCTTTTACACACCAACTAATCTTTATTACCAACTTATCTGGTTGATGGGCGTTTTAGAAGTTGATGAGTAATGAGAAAGGCATGAAACTTTATGGATGACATAGCATTATTTTGAATGACCTGTAAGTTTAATACAAAGTACTAACACAATTTGGACATTGACGCCCAAATAATGAAAAAATGTATTTCTAAGTTTACTAAATGTCGATATGTAATAATATTTATTATAACTTTAACAATACAAACATACAATGAAACCTCGTACTTGGCACCATCTGTCAAGATACTTCGAGTGGAAATACCCTATGTAATAATATTTATTATAACGAAAATACCCGGGTTAGAACTGATCTTCAGTAACCCATGCTTGTCGTAAAAGGCGACTAACGGGATCGGATTAGTTGACACATGTCATCGTATCCCAATTGCGTAGATATATGCTCCTGCTGTTGATCATTGGATTGTCTGGTCCAGACTCGATTATTCACAGACCGTGGCCATATAGCTGGAATATTGCTGAGTGCGGCGTAAAACTAAACTCAATCAGTTACGCACTCGAGCTGAAATCATATACTGAACATCATTTAAAACGCACCACTTATAAAAGTTCAGATTATTAAAAGCACTTGTGAGGAATTGATATTTTTTGAGTGGATAATAACAGATGGACGACTGACAAACACAACAACACAGAAAAGACGCTCATTCATTGAAATGTTCCACAGTCAGAAAGGATAAAACACACGTGGGGTCAAATTGAAAAGTCAATATCGCGTGTGACCGCCATTTGCATTGACACATGCAGTTCAACGTCTCCTCATTGAGTCAATAAGCGTCCGAATAGAGTTCTTGAGGTTGGCATACCACCTCTGCAGTAGTGCAGCCTCAAGTTCCCGGATGTTTCGCATCTGTTCGCATCTTTCGCCGCGAAAGACTTTGACCAATTTCGTCCCACAAGTGCTCCATGGGGGATACATCTGGTGACTGTGCTGGCCAATGAATAACCTGGATGAGTTGCTGGGCCAGATACTGCATGGAAAGTCTAGCTGTGTGTACCCAGTGCGTTGTCCTGTTGAAAAGTATGGACATCTTGGTGGTGATTGAAGACAGATGTGATTCTGAAGAATCTGCTCACGGTAATAAAGGGCATTTACTCTCCCTTGACAGACATGAAGGCAGTCCTGTGATTGTAATTTATTCCACCCCAGACCATGACACTCCCACCACCCAAGGTCTGTCTGAACCACACACTCATCAGAATAACGTTCACCACGTCTACGCCAAACACGTAATCGGCCGTCAGCATTACGTAGATGAAGACGTGACTCGTCAGTGACTACCACACCATGCCATTGTTGTAACCTTTACTGAAAATGCCTGCTAGCCCACTGTATACGCTCATTACGGTGTCTGTCAGTCAAAATTGGTCCAACGTAAGGACGCCGAGCATGGAGCCCTGTAGCGTGTAGACGGCGTCGCATGGAGTCAGCGCTGATGACCCCCACGTCAACCTTGAACTAGTGCAGCAGTCCTGGCAGTCGGCAGTGTTCAATCACTGATATGGACAAGGTCAATATGGCGATCCTGATGGAGCGTCGTAACACGTTGTTGCCAAAGTCATTGAAGGTCACGGGTGCTGCCTGTCTACTGATGTCTATGAAGCCTAACGATGGTGGAGTGGCCAAGTCCAAGTTGTCGAGCAATATCCCTGCTGCTGGTGCCAACCTGAATCATGCCTAGTGCACGTTCTCTTTCGTGAGGTGTTAACCTCGGCATCTCTGTCCTCGTTTCACAATCGTTAGTGAAGCAATGAGAATCGGTTCTCATACACCTGCTTTTAATGTCACAGTCATTATGATTTCAGAATGAAATTCGCGCTTTTTTCATGGCGTGGCTGCATGTTGATGCATTTTGGAATTAAGAGTCATACTGTGGACAGGAATTTGTTTCTAAAGCATTTTTTCAGCTGGACATGCCCATCGACTTCATGTTAGTTATATTCATTGATCATTGTCATGCTGAAATCCATCTTGATGAAAATATGGACAATTTTAGACTGGTGCGTTTTCAATGATGTTCAGTATATTTAAAACGAACCGATATGAGACCACAGTGCCAAGCACTGAACATACTGAATATGATGAAATCTAGAAAGCTGTAACTAAAAGGTAAAAAGTCCACTTTAAAAACTGTCTGTATTTGATATGTTAATGACACTTGCATATTTCTATCCCTCCCCTATGTCCAGTGAGTCTGTACGTGTGCCTCCTGATCGCCCAGATGCCGCCTACTGCCTGTGCCCCGCTGTTCTTCGAGTTGGCGTGTGAGGTGGCGTACCCCGTCGGGGAGGGGACAGCAAGCGTTATACTGACCTTCACAAACCAGATTGGTTCCATTGTGTTTCTCTTTATAATGATGATTCCACATGTTGGTGAGTATGATACGCTGATCCGTCTGTTCCACGGTCACTGTTTATAATGACCACTAACCATAACAACGCGAATCTGGTTTTCTATAAAAAGGACAGAGACCCTTTCGTAGGCTACCTCACCTACTTGAATCTCCATAGATATATATGCAGTATTGGGTGTTCATTTTCGCTGACAATCACTGGATTGTATGGCCCAGATGCGATATTTACGGACTGCCGCCATGTAGCTGTTATACTGCTCAGTATAGCCTTGAAACAAGAAATGAAACAAACATCATAGTGGTTCTTCCAATGTTTGAATGTCTTCTGTGTGAGTGATGGTATGGTATAGAATGGTTTATCTTGCAGGTTCAATGTGGCTTAATTGGGGAATATTTGGAGCAGTGGCATCAACGCCGTTGTTCTTACTACTTCTTCGTGAGCGACATCAACGATTGGATATTGATACAGAACATACCCCTGCCATGAAAAAGGAACACTGATTTAATAGTACCGCTCTCGAAAATACACCACTGTATGTCCTACATTGTCAGACATCGTTATTAAAGTATATAAGACTACACATAATAAGAACTTTTGAATCAATAATAGTTTACACAATGTCTAATATATCATCTAAATTGCCTTACAAAAGGAAAGTGTACAGTCGTGGTTATTCAATAGTATTCGATAGTCATGTTTTTGATAGGGATATAGTAGCTGTAGTTGGCACCTTAAGTTTTCAGTGTTTCGGCACCTGTCTCAGCCTACTTACGTTTTCATTAAAATGTTGGTCAAATCCAATTTTCAGGTGTATATTTTTCCCCCGCCGCAACGCGGAACGGGGGACCATGTATTCAGCGGCGTCCGTCCGTACATCGGTACGATTCTTGTTAACGCGATATCCCATGAACTGTTGTACCCAATGTCTTCAAATTTGGTGACAGCCTACATTGGGGGATTACGCAGACACTAGTCGATTTGGGTGACCTTGACCTTATTTTTAAGGTCACCACAACACTTTTCAAACTGTTGTTAACGTGATATCTCATGCACTGTTGTACCCAATGTCTTCAAATCTGGTAACAGCCTACATTGGGGGATTACGCAGACACCTGTCGATTTGGGTGACCTTGACCTTATCTTCAAATATAATCTTTCATCTTACCGTATACATCGCATTATTCCTTTGCGTATTTTAACATCTATTCGCCGTGAAGATTGGTTACATGTCTACCGTTAATACGTTCAGTATTTTGTTAATATGGTTTGTAATGTCCGTTGACCATATATTATGTTACTGTTAAAGCTGTAGCAATTACCAATATCTCCCTGTGGAACTGATATTTCCTTTAACAAATTCCAACAAAGTTAAATTAACCTACGAGCACATTTACATTTAGTAATCCTCTTAAGTGTAACCTCATTATTCCGGATGGTACTGTTCACATGGAAACCTTTCAGTTAACGAATGTCCAGATTAAAGAGTCTTTTGCATATAGAAATGTTGTTTTACCTACGCGAACATTCCCAGATGCGAACATTCCAAGACGCGAACATTCCGAGACGTATTTGTTCTTAACACAGGGTTCTGGTTTAAGTCTCACTACAAACGACATTATATAGTTTTCATTTAAAACAAAGCTTGTCTGACGTCCTTATAAATATGTATTTTTCATCACATTAAACCACATTTGGACATTTGTAATGTAATCCTGATTTCGTTCCCTACCTCATGCTGAAACTTCACCTACGAATAGGTGTATATCATCCAAAACTGTGTTCCACAGGAGATATCGCTTGTGTGAGATCATATGATATCTCCTAGGAGATATCGTTTTGACAGTAGATTTTGTACAATGCCCTGACAATGCTATGATGTCACTTGATGCCGTCACAATGCTATGACATCGCTGCACTGCAAGTCTAATGGTAGTACGGTGTTCAGAGATGTACATTTGTCATTGAAAACTAATGAAGAATGATTTTTGATGATAAATAGAATCTCACCCTCGTGTCTACTGATACCAATTACATCAACACTCGTTGATAAAGGTAAAAATATCCTCGGCAAGCCTCGGATATTTGTAACTTTATCAACTCGTGTTGATATAAATGATATCAGTAGACACTTGGGTGAGATTCTCTATATATCCGAGTTCAAAGTATGTGCTTTATTTGTTGAATACTAGTATATATACATGACATCTGTATGATGCCTTTCAGTTTGTTTGAACTAAGTTTCACTGTAGCGCCCAAAACCCTGAAAACATGACCCGATCCATACCAGGTACAGTTCCTAAGGAGCGTTTGCATTTTGATATTTGCCATATACCGTCAAAAAACGCTTTGTCGAAGTTGAAGTGATCTACGGACTACACTTCGGGTTATCCGATGTTCGACACAACCACCCTTTGACCCAGTGTGCATTAAACACATCAATGTTGTGAACTAATTCATGCTGTGATGACGACTATGATGACTAAAACGGAAGTCAACACAATATGACAAAATATGGACTCAGAACATTACCGTCTTTTGTCTGTAGTTTTCTGTGTTTTCCTGTATGAAGGGGCTCCGGCTTGGTTTATACTGAATTAAAGAAATGTAGTCAGAATGTGTTTGTTGTGATACTTGTTCTGCATACCATATGAGTATAGTTGTAACTTAGTGGGAGAATGTAGGGTGAGCATGAACACAGAGGGACAACATCCTCATCATATACCTATCAACAAAATACCTAACTCGATCATCAAGCTGACGCATTGCTGCAGACCCGTTCAGGAAATATGAAAATATCTTTTCAGGGTAAACCGTACTCATTACTTGTACGGGTTAGGCTCTATTGCCCGAAACAAACAAGTTGACTGACTGGAGAAATGCAGGTTTTCGTGGCTATTTCGAGTTATCTCCCTTACATGGCTCCATATTGAGAGTATACGATTTTCATACCATTTGCTTTAAACAAAATGACGGCGGTCAATCAAGACGATCTGATCAAGGTAATCAAACAAAGGATTCATAATTTCTGACTCACAGGCTCCCGCTGCATGTAGATTGTAGCACAACAATTGAGTATTTTGATAAAGTAAAAGCGACACATTCATAATCTCCCTTAAAAATTCTGCAATTGCCAAATAACGTCGATATCTCATATACAATAAAACGATAAGGGAAAATAGAAAACTAGGAGCCACACCCCTCATGGACTATTCTGCCTGTGGTGTTTTAATGTATGATTATTTCTTGAATGAAAATTGACAATCTTCAATCTTGAATTTCTCTTCCGATAGCTTTCGATTTGTATTGAACGACCTTCGGTGTTTTCATTCTGTTGCTGATTATTTTTTCACTGTGAATTAAAATTGACAACGTCTACAGAAAAGTTTAAAATCTTCAGAGAAATGCTGCTGCTCTTTCAGGGACCACAAGGTGGATGCGTATATCGTAGTTATACGACTTACGTGTTTAGCGATCGCTTTGAGAGAGTACACAAGAGGATGCAATAAGTTATAGTTACTGTTTCGCAGAGAGTACACGCGTATAGGACTGTCATCCCATGTTACATTTTACAGAGGTTTGATTTTGATTTCTGCTGTATTCGTATTGTGAAAGGCAGTTATCATTCTACAATACCATTGAATTCATTTGACATTCAAAAATACCATTATTGAAGACAAGTGCCAACAATGCATGTAACACCCATCACAAAGGGATAAATACGCTAAAACTCATTCTGAAACTAGGGCACACTATTACGATAAAGCAGTTTGACGCTTTTGTTCTACATTTGTTCTATTTCCTCAAATAAACCTTCAGTATTTGCATGTAATTGCTGTAGTGAGTGAGTAAGTGAATATGACTTTGAGCCGATTTTAGCAATTTTCCAGAAATATCACGGCGGGGACACCGGGAATGGGCCTCACACATTGTACCCATGTGGGAAATCGAACTCGGGTCTTTGTCGAGACGAGCGAATGCTTTAACCACTAGGCTACCCCACCTCCCCTGTAATTGCTGTAGAATAAATACCTGAGAATAAACCTCGGGTAAACAGTGTTTGTACCATTCCCACCTTCCGTTTCTTTGCAATGACGTGTTAACATATATACACTGGAGTTTACTTGTTGACTGAAGGGTTACGTTAACTGAGTCGGTTATCTTCACAATCCTGTTTGATTGTTTCTTTACACTGACATGACAACTGTACACTCACTCACTTTAAAAGACATATAATATTCTCAAGAGTACTATATACGTTATATACATGTGTTAGATATGAAACAGTGCAGTGGGTACATGCATCTGGGTTTATTACCCATATGGGAAGGAGGACACAGGGTACACCTTCTGGTGAACGTTGATTGGCTGTTTCAGAAAATAAAACAGCCAATCAACAGGTAGGGACATGGGGGATTCCCCACATCGCGGGTTTCCTTATAGAAAATGCTGTTCTCATTTCAGTGCAGTACTGTGAATAATGTTTGAAGGTAGTATCGATCGTATATGTTTATGCTTGTACGAAAATAGTTCCACTGATTGTCTAGGTACATACATGCATGTAATGTATAGGATGTCCATGAATGTACAGCAACCTTACATGAGAAAATTGTAGTAGGATATCGGGAAGTACAAAGGTTATAGGAGATTTTAGCCGTTGGGGGACGATTTTGTAGAGCCTGGGTTTTCATAAATCGACCCTGTGCTCTACCTTTTCCAGGGTCTCCCTGAACGGGGTCGATGATCAACATTTCGGTTTGTTGGTATCTATTCCATAGTCTGCTTATGTAGCAAAGCCCTAGACAGTGAAACTTTGACCTCCACTGTATGTAGACTTCTGCCAGTTTCCGGCAGACGCTTCATTCGTTACTGACGCCGCATCCATAGTTTTTACACAGCAATATATTACATTAAGTAAATTACTACTGTATGGTAAGAAGAATGAGATGGACAGAAAGAATGGTATACGGAAATAACACTCGATGAATGTGTTGGCAATGCTGAGTACGGCATGTGTTTTTGTGTCAAACTTTACACGGATGATTATGCATCGAATGTTTGTCGTCAACACTTGTCTTTGTTTTATACTTTGTATAAAACGGTTATAGCTCATGATCTTTGTGAAGAGTGTAAGTTAAGTTAAGTCGGTTATCTCCAAGCACCTGACAGCATCTTGTATCAGCAACCACAAGGTCTTCGTGTCGATAACAGAGGTCACAAAGTGACATGTACACCTTTCTCCACAAATAGTAAGTTGTATTCCTATTGCTTTACAAATGACAAGTGTAATGTTGAATATGAACTATTGTATTTGTCTATATATTATTGCTACGTATCTTTACTGGGATATTGAATTATATCTACACGATCACAACCATTCTAAACGTTAATAAATAATATTATCAGCAGTTCGGAACACTTTGTGTCTTTGATATTTATACAATAGCTATACAACCACTTTACCCCAGTACGTGTGAAGTATAAACGGTTTATAACAAGAGTGAGAAGTACGTTTTCAGTTCGATGTATTGAACAGAGTTTTTGTAACTCACTTAATATAATGTTTACTGTACAGAGGCGGGGGGTAGCCTAGTGGTGAAAGGGTTGGCTCGTCACGCCGAAGACCCGGGTTCGAATCCCCACATGGGTACATTGTGCGAAGCCCATTTCTGGTGTCCCTCGCCGTGATGTTGCTGGAACATTGCTAAAAGCGGCGTAAAACCAAACTCAGTCAGTCAGTAAGTCAGTTTTCTGTACAGCGTGTGGTGTATTGATCAATTTGAAATAGTGAATGTTTACGTTTGATTAACTCCTCTTTGACCAACATTTCAGCTCTATCTCGTCATGTCAACCTCATATGGGAGGGAGACACGTACTGATGTACATCTTAGACGTTCAATCAATCAAGTATATTTCGTAACAAGGCCTTAGGCCCACGTACAATACAAATAAACATGTGTAATTATAAGATAGTGGCATTTGACAATCAGATTCATATGTATAAAGAACGCAATGACAATGCTTCCTTAATGTAAGAAGAACAATATGTTAGTGTTGAAAACTTGGTACAAGATAATGTGTTCAGAAAGTATTGTTGATCTATGTAATTTGGTAATGCTTTAAAATATTTACAGCGCAAATCATGATAAACTTTACATTCAAATAGGAAATGAAATTAATTTTCCACAAAATTATCATTACAAATGTTACAAAGTGTTTGGTGCCTCGGAACTACCGGTATCTTTATATATTGGAAGTGCACCGATTCGTAACATTGTTATTCGACGCCTCGCATCTTTAGATTTCAAAAAAGTTAAGTATGGTTCAATGCAAAATACACTTTTGATACTGGAATAAACATCAAACGATGAACATTTGTGCATTTCTGAAAATATGAATTGCTTCTGACAATCACCAACTCTTACATGAAAATCTTTCAAAAACTGTTTCTCGTTGCCAACTCCTTGAGCTTCCCACACAAAACCAAAACCGTAATTGAACAAAGTATTTCGGACAAAATATACCCACGCTTTTCTACCAACTTTGTCTAAATTGTGCAACATAATATAACACTGCTTTGGATTTCTATCCTTTGGTAAGCGTAAAAGTTTGAACCAATACTTCAAAACACGTAATAAACTATCTTAAATATAATTTCTACCACATTCCGCCAAAACAGCAGCGTTAGAGAATTTATAACATACGCCAAACACATACTTACAAAATCTAACGTGAAACTGTTCAATAACATGCCTTTTCTTAGACGTTAAAACTGTAGTGACACCTGTGGGTGTGAGGCCAGCAAACCAAATATCTGTTATTAGATCTAACGATCAACACTACGCACCACACCATAGACAGCTGGCACACCCGCCTCCTCTTCCACTGAATTTTGATGCCTTAATGAATTAAAGTTATAAATTTATATAATATCAACTATAAACTTGTATTTGCAGCACTTTTAAATTACACTGTACGCTAGATTCTAGATAAATGCATCGTTTATAAACAAAATATCTAACCAAAGATATAATTTACACTACTGAAAAGTTGGATGTTATCATTTCAGACATACTAAAATATACTTCAGTTCGAAGGAGTACCCTATCACCAGTTAATACATCTACTTATATGTCACGTCCAGCTCTATCATGTGTCTGGCACAGTGCCTTTACATGCGCACATGGGTCTATTAGGTGTGTTTTCAAATGATAGAATGTGTCTATATTTTGCAAGAAGTTCCCGAAAATGGACGACCCACACACGCCATTGCTAGAGTCAACGACTGGTTACGATGTTCAAACTCCTTCTATACTGAAACACAAGCCTCCACCCAGACATAGCAGACTAAACAACCCATGTGTTGCCATACCCGACAAGGTAATGTCCATGAGTAAATAAAACGACATGCCATTATGAGTAAATGGATCTTGGTATAGGTATCTTTTTATTTGTATCTGAGTATGTGGGTATATATGGATATAGATATAGGTTATTGGGTATAATGTAGATATATGTATCTTGATTGTATAAATCTGGGTACACCTAAGTGGAACCAGTCGTCGGAAAATGTGAGGTTGCAACAAAGGCTACTGCGGAGGGATCGTGGTTACCACAGTACTTAGGAAGTGAAGGAAGTACTCTTACTACAAGGACAAAGTGCATTTTGCTTTCTTCTGATCTTTGATTAAAGGCATCAAAAGGCATAAAATCTTTGATGCAGAAACCCGTTGTTACAGAAATCCTTGACTGAAACATTTGTTTTCAAATAAGCGAGAAAGAGAAATCTTACATAATCTTACTTGTTTCATTTCAGAGAACATGCATTAAATGGATCACTGTTCCAATGTGTGTAATTGTATTGCATTACTGAATCTCATACTCGTTATTCAAGCAGTACACTTAATCCCCGAAATGTTAATGTAATATATTCCTGGCTTATACTCCATATTCAAAGGTGTATCTGTATAGTCTGTCTCACCTTCCGTCAAGCCTTTACTTCAGTTCTTTATACCTAAATAAAGCAAGGCTATGCTGTTTTGTACATTCTGGATCTTCAATCTCACTGGGACTTTTCAATTAAAATGCAGTTGCTTGTATATATAAAAACTATTGATTTCAGAGACTATGAGTCTAATGTATCTGTATCTATATATTCCCAGACAGATGTAGATGTACAAGTTGGCTTGAGGTTAAAGGTCTACAGCAGACGGTGGTACATCCTCATCGCCTATGCGTTCATGGTCGGTCTACAATCTCTGGTCTGGAACACGTTCCAGCCTATTTCCAAAACAGCCATGTTTGCCTTTGAGTGGACACGGACAGACATCACTGTCATCGCCAACTGGGGTCCCATCATGTTCTTCTTCTTCATGCCCTTGTACTCGTGGCTGCTGGACACTAAAGGTACACGGTATATCGTGGTGCATGGTTAACTTTAATGGGTGTCTTGAAGAGGTGCCAGATTATTTACAGCCAAATGACATCTGTATTGCCTGGGTAAAAGGAGACGTTCTTTCTCTTCTGGCTGCATGGGTAAAAGTAACACGTTCTTTTCAGTGAAATGGAAACCAGTAAATGCGCTAGTTTGTTAGTTTATCGTCTGCTTTGTCTTCAGGTCGCCGTCGTATTGCATAAGTACACTTTTGAAGGCAAATTATGTCAGTGTTACTTATATACTGCTGGAATGACACTCTCGCTAACACCTGGTGTCATCACAGATTTTACCGATCCATTCCTACAACATTTTGACCGCTAGTTTGGCTTTGGCGTTTAATAGAATCCGTTTCAGCAGATAATAAGGCTGATAATAATTTGGCGTTGTGTCAACGTTGAAGGGACTTACGTCGAGACATCCGAGGTTCCACAAAACCCCAGGGCCTAGATTTTCGAAGCTCTCTTAGCGCTAAGATAGTCGAAAGTGCCATACATTAATATTAACTTACGACTATCTTAGCGCTAAGAGAGCTTCGAAAATCTAGGCGCAGAATAATAAGTAAATAAGGAATACACCACTGTATTATGTAACTGTGTTACAGGTTTGAGAGTGTCGTGTCTTCTCGGGCTCTTCTCCATCACACTAGGGTGTGCCATCAGGTGTATTACTTCAGACCCCCCTTGGGTCAGATGGTAGGTATAAGCAGTGCCTCATGCTTGTACAGGTCGCTGTGATGTAGTTGAAAAATAGCTGACTGTGGCGCTTAACGACAATGACTTATGAATGCACAGTGCCACAATGCATACACAACGATCAAACAAATTAACATCCTTTATTGTGTGTGCGTGTGTGTGTGTGTGTGTGTGCGTGCGTGCGTGCGTGTGTGCATGCGTGTGTCTGTGTGGCGACTGACTCGGGTGCAACACTCATCTATCCCTACTTTCTTTATAATTTATAAGCAGCCAACATAGGGAGTAAGCAGGACCCTCTTCCCCCCATAGCGATCGTATCGCAAAAGTGGTCGTAACTCCCATACTTTAACATAGACTTGCGACAGCCATGGCGCTACGATCGCTTTGAGGAACGGGGCCCAGGTCTCCGTGACCCAAGGCAATAGAGATGAGTCAGGAATTTGTGAATTAGATGATGGCGTGTCCGGGTATCTCTACGACGTCTGATGCTATTCACATTTAACTAGTCCAGAGTGGGTGATTCATAGGCAGCCTTCAAATGACTCGAAGATTACTTAGTTCTTTAACATCTTTCTCTGGATACCAAATGATACAAACATACACTGACTCAGCATTTGACATGGCATTGCATGTGTTTGCGATGGTGGCTCAAGCGGGTACCTCGTTTACAAACACTTGATATCGGCACCGTTTCATAGTGCTCCACAAACACATGCTTGTCGTACCATGGACTCCGCTTTAAGCAGATGACTCTTATGGTTTTGTAACCTGATTTTGTCCTTGATTATATATCCACAATATTATCGACAGGACAATGCACCTAGGACAACTGTGTAATGGCCTGGCTAGCCCTGTGAGTACTGCAGCGCCCCCTGTGTTGTCCTCGCTCTGGTTTCCCCCTCATGAACGTACCACCGCCACCGCCCTCGCCGCCATGTCAAAGTTTGTAGCCCTGGCTGGGTCCTTCATTGTAGGTAAGATGTTTCACAAACTGCAAATACGTCACAAAGAGCGTTTCGTATTTAAAGATTAGAACATTTCTGTTGCAATTTCTGGCTTATAATGATACATGATATACAAGCCCTTAGGCAAGCTTCTAATACCCCTTGCTTATAATTCTTATCTGAGTTTAAGCATTGCTAGATAATCCTTGATTTTCTGGCTTTAGTTTGTGTTTACTTACAGCACCCCTTGCAGTTCCTGAGATAACTCATAGAAATTGCACGGCGAAGAACCTTACAAGGTGAGGTACGTAGGTTTGTAGAGTCTTCTTATCTGGATCCTCAAATTCTAGATAGTCACACTGTTCATGTGACCAGATGACATGTAGTTACTGTATACCCCTTTCTAAATGTTTCTTTAGGTATGAGTTGGACACTATACAATATGAAAACTACGGAGACAGTAACATCACCGAAACCTGCATTGAAGGAGCTCAAATACCCGGTAAATTATTTAGACACGGTGCAAACCTGACAGTAAAATATTTATAATGGATGATATGAATGTAAACCTGACAGTAAAATATTTATAATGGATGATATGAATGTAAACCTGACAGTAAAATATTTATAATGGATGATATGAATGTAAACCTGACAGTAAAATATTTATAATGGATGATATGAATGTAAACCTGACAGTAAAATATTTATAATGGATGATATGAATGTAAACCTGACAGTAAAATATTTATAATGGATGATATGAATGTAAACTTGACAGTAAAATATTTATAATGGATGATATGAATGTATTACTAAGGTTAACGTTTAGCCTCTGAAATGGAGAAGTTTAAGATATTCTTTCTCTTCAGTTTCTCTCTCAGCTAAAATATAGTCCGTTGTTCGAATCAAACTGTATTACGACTCTGTGTTTATGAATGTCTATCATTTATTGAGAATACCAGAACTCATAACTTTTTCAAATGCTGTAAAAAATGGATGATGGCCTCTTCATATCCTTTCTTGTTGTTTCAGATCCACCAGTTACAGAATTAAGGGCGGATATTATGCACCTGATGTACAGTGGTAAGTGTTTTGGTTTTTTTTTTTTTTTTTTTATTTTTTGTTGTTTGTTTTTTGTTTGTTTTTATTTTGTCGTAATATTCAATGTATGATGTCGGTGTGTTAAAAGACGAGTCTGGACCAGACAATCCAGTGACTGACATGAGTATCAATCAAAGCAATGGGGATACGATGACATGCATCAACCATTTAGCGAGTCTCACACCCGATGCCATTAGTTGCTTCTTACGACAAGCATGGGTTGCTGAAGACTAATTCTATCTCGGATCTTCACGGGTTCAGTGGTAAGAATGAACACAATACTCTTCACGTCAGTTGCAGCAATACCCTGTGATACATTTTCCTTTCCATGAGCACGTTAATGGAGCGGACATCCTGCACAGATCTTTGTACACTCGAACCTATAATGATTTACCTTTATATTGCCATTGATACTCTCAACCATACCCGCTTTTTCGATGAATAATATACTCATGCCAATAATGGTTGTCCACCACCCCACCCCCCCCACCCCCACACACACCCTCTCTCCAATAACAAAATTGAAGGGGTGACAACCATTATTGGCATGAATAACATATTTTCACTAGAGGCTGGCGTCGCTGTATTGCTGACGTTGATTGTATTGCTGTACTTCCCGAGACGTCCACCATTGCCACCCAGTGCATCTGCTGCCATCAGGAGGGAAGGTTTCTTACAGGGTCTGAAAGACCTCCGACAGTAGGGCGGTTTTGTCTTCCTAACATTCATTAATATGAAATAGTGATTGATGTGTCTATGCTCATAATTTGTTTCACCCCTATACTATGGAGTGACAGTTATTGTGAGCATGGGTATGTGCTGTCCGACGATCGACACAGCTCGTCCCACTTCGGCACAGCTCGTCCCACTTCGGCACAGCTCGGCATCTTGATACTCATTATGGTTTCATCACGAGTTTATTGCCCGCAAATTGTACCCTCAATGTTAAATTGCATACGTCCATCATGTATTGTTTTGATATAGACAGACAGACAGACAGAATATTTTATTTAAGTCTGACCTTATATGAAGGCAAGCGTATCCATGTATTGAAGATATTTCCGTGACTTTGATTTTCAGTAGCAGGACAACCCGGTATTTTGTAGATATTCCTGGTATGTTAATGGCCATTTTTGCCAACTAACGGATTGTATATATCTTGTAGATATGAATTGATACCTTGAACTACCTTATGTTCAGACCTATATTTTGGTACCTACATCTACTCGTGTTTTATGTAAAACCCGAGATGTAGGTACCAAAATTATGTTAGAATAAAGGGACACAACCCTTTCCACATCCATAAGAAATCTCTGCTAAAAGTTAATTATACAAATAAAACTATATTAGGAGCAGGTGTTTGTTTGTTTATTTAATGCCTCACTCAGCAATATTACAGCTGTATGACGGCGGTCTGTAAACAATCGAGTTTGGACCAGACAATCCAGTGATTGAGATTATGCGATACCATAACATAGCATGGTTTTTTTATGAAGCACTATCAAATAGTGATGATACCAAATACTCGCGAAGAGGTGAGCGCATCCTGCCACTCTGATGTCATCCGTCCTAAAGATATGCAAAGGCTAGTCACTTTTTTACTTTTCAACAAATCCGGGAGTGCACGCATTCAAAATAAGGAATTGAATCTGACATCATTTTGTCATAAATTCTGGTTATTTCCTGTGGTATTCAGGGGACCCTGTTAGATAGCGCAGGTTGCTTTCTCTGACGTCCGGTGCGCCGGATGTTCCACTAGTAATTAACTAGTAATTAAGGTGCGGTTTTGATCTCGCATTGACTTACTTCTGGTTTTACTGAGTTAAACGTGGCTCATGTGTTACATATAACACCCCTTATTTCTAGTAACCCGAGGGTAAGTGATTCTGATACCATGTTCCAGTCACCCTAGTTTCTGGCTTCTGTCGTGTCTCTACATGATATCCGGGGGGAGCAGCGCCGCCTGGGTGGGGACCCTCAGTCTCAACCTGAAGCCCACGGGCGTCACCCAGAAGCAGGCCGGCTGGATCGGCTTCTACTCTTTTGTGGCAATGTGTGTCTCAGTTCTACTCACAGCAAGGTAAGCATCGGTCGGTGTCATTAATGTATTCCTATATCCTATATAGCCACCATGCATACAGGTCTCATGTCTAGCCTTGACATGTGTTAAAACTGATGTATAATCGACGAGTCCTGAAAACACAGTCCAACAGGGAATACCCTGTCCAGTATGTATTGAGTTTGTTCATATGTGTCTGTGTATTTTGGCACTGAAACACATGGTGTCACAGTTATATTTCAGAATGGTTGTATTGGTTCTGTTCCAGACTGGGTGACAGGTTTCCCCGCCACATGAAGTGGTTTATCTCTGGCCTCAGTCTCATCACGGCCTGCTGCTTCCTACCCGTCACCATGGCATGCACTAAAGTCATCACCTTGTCACTCCGTGAGTACACCCTCCCCGTCACCATGGCATGCACTAAAGTCATCACCTTGTCACTCCGTGAGTACACCTCCCCCGTCACCATGGCATGCACTAAAGTCATCACCTTGTCACTCCGTGAGTACACCCTCCCCATCACCATGGCATGCACTAAAGTCATCACCTTGTCACTCCGTGAGTACACCTCCCGTCACCATGGCATGCACTAAAGTCATCACCTTGTCATCACCATTGTCATCACCTTGTCACTACGTGAGTACACCTCCCCCGTCACCATGGTATGCACTAAAGTCATCACCTTCCTACTCCGTGAGTACTCAAGAACCGTGAATATCCGGATAAGAATTGATATTCAGTAACCCATGCTTGTCGTACAAGGCGACTAACGGGATCGGGTGGCCAGGCCTGTTGGTTCGGTTGACACATGTCATCGCATCCTGTAGATCGATGTTCATGCTGTTGATCACTGGATAGTCTGGATTTATACAGACCTCTGCAATATATGTGAATATTGCTGATATCGTTAAACAACAAATAAAACCAACCGGGAGTACACCATCCTTGTCACTATAGTCTGTACTCAACCCGTCACCTTGTCACTCCGTGTGTACTCTTCCCTGTCACTATAGTCTGTACTCCACCCGTCACCTTGTCATCACCTATGTCTGTACTCCGTGTCACTCCGTGAGTCACCATCCATGTCACTATAGTCTGTACTCAACCCGTCACCTTGTCACTCCGTGAGTACTCTTCCATGTCACTATAGTCTGTACTCAACCCGTCACCTTGTCACTCCGTGAGTACACCATCCATGTCACTATAGTCTGTACTCCACCCGTCACCTTGTCACTCCGTGAGTACACCATCCATGTCACTATAGTCTGTACTCAATCCGTCACCTTGTCACTCCGTGAGTACACCTCTCCATGTCACTATAGTCTGTACTCAACCCGTCACCTTGTCACCCGTGTCACTCCGTGTGTACTCTTCCCTGCCACTATAGTCTGTACTCAACCCGCCACCTTGTCACTCCGTGTGTACTCTTCCCTGCCACTATAGTCTGTACTCAACTCGTCACCGTGTCACTCCGTGTGTACTCTTCCCTGCCACTATAGTCTGTACTCAACCCGTCACCGTGTCACTCCGTGTGTACTCTTCCCTGCCACTATAGTCTGTACTCAACCCGTCACCTTGTCACTCCCTGACTCCATGTTCCTCCCTTTAAGTCACCGTGGTCTGCATCAATCTTGTCATCTCGTCACTCAGTGAGTGTATCGCCCCGTCACCATGGCCTGAACTCATTGCCTTGTCATGAACTTAGTGAGTAAGCATAGCCCAGAATATTTGGGTTCAATCACATTTTCCGTGTTATAAGATGTTAAAGATTGAGAAAATATAAATAAGATTATTGTTTGCGCTTCAGAAATTACATTTGAGCCTAAAGACGGCTTCGAATATTTCACTTCCTTCGGCAAACATACCCGAGGAGTCATGCGGGCGACCCTGTTCCACATCAGCACATACTGCATACATGTGCAACTGCCATATATTTTTGTGTGTAGATAAACATACATCGGTCCTTTCTGTTTTTAAACCAAACTTTGTTTGAAAGGCTGTGTACATGTTAACACAACAGCAGGAACACGCCATTTACAGACAAACGGACCTTATAGCAATTAATTGAAGTTATAGAGTCCCTTAATGTCAAAGAGTAAACCGTCTTTAGGCTATATTCGGAGGTTGGGGTATTTCAGTTGTTTACGTGTTGAGTCGCCACTCCGAAAGCTTGGATTCGACGCCACATGGATGAAACCAATTTCTGGTGTTCCAGGCCGTGATGTACCTGGATCAAATAGTTCTAATGGCAGGCCAAACCCAACTTACTGACTATATAGAAATTTGCTTTTTCGCAGGATCACGATGCCGCAACAATGCGAATATTCTACCAATGCAGATTAAATGTTATCCCAGGTTTTAGTAAGGTAGTCATACCATGCAATGGATGTCGCACCTGCCGAAGGTTAGAGCATAGAACAACCACGTTACTCTCACGTGTGTATAGACTTATATTCTTAGTGTCTAGTAAACATGTGTCCAATTTTATAGAACAAACTTTATGGATAACACCTTCTTTTATTCGTGAGTGCGACGTTTCGATACAGATTCTTGTACCGTTGTCAAGCATAAAATGTTCTATATCCATAAAGTTTGTTCTATATTATACTTCCCAACTTCTAAAATGCCACTCAAAGAAGATATGTGTCCAACTGTTTTCAGCGATGCTGTATGGCCTGGTCATCGTCGGTGTCGTGGCTGGAGGGTCAAATATACCTCTTTTCTTTGAACTGGGTTGTGAACTCACGTACCCTATAGGGGAAGGCACAGCTAACGGTGTTCTCAACCTCTTCTATCATATAGGAGCGCTCATGTGTCTCTTAGCGTATATGATACCACAGTTAGGTGAGTACTGTGCTTATGCACCTTATAGCTCCTACTTTCATTATTTATTTATTTATTTATTTTTTATTTTTTATTTTTTATTTATTTATTTATTTTTTATTTTATTTTTTTTAAATTTATTTATTGTATCTTTATTAAACAGTGATTCATTAAAACATAAACATGTTTTGCATGCTTTTTGACTCCTGAAGTTCACACATCTGATATTGAACATTGAAGAATGGTGATTATTGTGGCAAACACATTAATTTCAACCTAAACTGCCCGTACGTCATGCCGCGGCTTACAGAAAATCAGCGTCTCCGCGCCGTGGATATGCTTGAGACTGGAATGGCCCTAATGAAGTGACCAGACATATTAATGTCCATCAAAACACGATCTCTATGGAGACGTTTTCAACATAGGGAACGCGAGTGATTTGCCTCGGACTGGCCGTCAACACGTGTGGACCCATCTAAGGAATCGAATTCAGAATGGCAGTTTGACTGCTCGGACCATTCCTTGCATACTTACAAACAGTTCCAGACTATACGGATCCGACTAAGGGGCCACAACATCCGGTCCCGACGGCCTGCAATATGTCCAATTCTGCTCCAACGTCACCGACAGGAACGTCTTGCCAGGTGCAGTCCGCATGAGACAAGGTTGGGATGGTGTTTTGTTCACTGACGAGTCAAGATTTCATCTGGACAGCTCAGATGGCAGGGCAAGGGTTTACAGACGGCGAGGTAAAGGGTATGCTGACGCGTGTTTTTCAACGTCGATAGTTTGGTGGAGAAAGCGTTACGGTATGGGGTGTCATCATATCTCATGGTCGGACACAACTTGCCATTGTCAATGGCAACCTGACAGGTCTGCGAAACAGGGATAAGATGAAAAATGGCATAATATCAAACAATAAACAGTTAGTTTATTCCAGTAGTATATATCTTTGTAACCTCAAGCCTGCATGTTACATGTATCTTTACAGGACACGTGTGGTTGAACTGGGCAGTGGTTGTGACGTTTGCTGTGACGTCCCCTGCTGTGTTGCTGCTGAAGGAAAGACATCTCCGGCTGGAGGTAGACAAGTCTGTTCAGGACAACACAGTTGATGTAATAGATCCATCACTGGCGTGATTAGCACAGCCTGTGTTGTTGCTGTTACCGACATGTCTGGAGCTTCCTTCATCAATGCTGCTGTTTCTCACTAACTCTATCTTCAATAAAACGTTTTTGGTGATACACATTTGTAGAGAAGGAGCCTTTTTTAAAAAAACGAATCACGCCCCTTTGAGAAGTATTCCAGTTATACCACGGTATGTCAGCTTTATCTGGGATCAAAGCCCGAACAGAAGCAGGTCTAAAACGTTTACCATTTAGTGGAACCCATGAGTGCGGAGCTGACAAATTAAGAAACATAATCGGAGCGGACCTGGATTCGAACCCATATCGTAGAATTTGGGCTTTCACGGGCGACAGTGCCAATCTGCCCTCGTGTCAATACCGCTGGTATCTACTTCATTTATACCACGATGAATAATTCAGGACTTTTCACTAACGTGAAAGCGTATATAGCGAAATCGGTCCACTAACTTGACAGATTGTGGTGGGTTGGTTGGTTGGTTGGTTGTTGTTTTAACGCCGCACTCAGCAGTATTCCAACTATATGACGGCGGTCTGTAAATAATCGAGTCTGGACCAGACAATCCAGTGATCAACAGCATAAACATCGATCTACACATTTGGAATACCATGACATGTGTCAACGAGCCAATCAGCGAGCCTGACCACCCGATCCCGTTTGTCGCCTCTTACGACAAGCATGGGCTACTGAAGACCAATTCTAACCCGGACCTTCATGGGTAGACAGCTTGTGGAGAAGTTGTTCTACTAACGGACATACAGTCGTCGTTGATATGGAAATAGAACTAAACCACTCTGAGATGTTGATTATACATAAATCATTGTTATCGTGTACAATCATTGGTACTGAATGGAACTGAATGCATTTCCCTCTAAATCAAAGAAGTAAAGTCATTCGTTAACGACACAAAAGTATTTCTTACTATTACAATGTATGACATACCGTCATCCCACCCTTACCCTTCGTTATCATATAACAAAAAACGTTTAATTGCACAAATTGAATGTTTATTTTTGATCTTCTAAAGTATTTTGGAGGTGACAATTGCAATGTGTACGTCGGTCTATAAGCAAAGGCTATCAGCAGAAACATGAGAAATATTTATCCAGGAAGGTAATCTTGGGTATTTGTTGACTTGGTTGGCTCCACAGCTGTGTGAGTAAAGTAGTGTTTATCTACTCTGAATAAACAAAATAAAGGTTAGCAGTTACACAAGCGAAACGTGCTGTGGTGCGTGCACACGAACTTTTCCTGTTTCAGGTTTCTTTCTCCAGAAGAAAGTTTAAGAAAACGATGACGTTTTTGCAAGATAATGCGGAGACACATCCCATTCCAACTGTTTGGGTTAAGGGTGCTCTATGTGGTCCGCCCTGTGTTTAAACTCTTCCGACTTAAAAATATACACTGCCATTAGCTTGTAAATAGGGGTCAAAATCAGCAAAATGAAAATCAGTCAGTACAAATCTATTGAATTCACTGGATAATTCTTGATTCTTGATCGGAATTTTGTTGTCTTCGAAAAGAATATCACCATCTTCAGCTGATTTGAAATGTTAAGAATTACTAAAGTTTTCAATGTGAAACAGGTCCGATAATGGTATGTGGGTAATGATGACAAAGTAC